CACAAGGGATCTATAAAGTTTTAGTGTGTTTTAAACATGTGCTAAGAAAATTGATATATAAGTGGAATGTTAAACTGAATATAAATTTTGATCTTTCGAAATGGTCTTTAATTTTCAATATTCCCTATACTTGTACAGTTGACACTAAACTACTTTGGTTCCAATTTAGATTAATACACCGGATCCTGGGAACTAATTTATTTTTGTCTAAGATTGGTAAGACAGATACCAATCTTTGTACATTCTGTAACGAGGAGGAGGAGACACTTATCCATCTTTTTTGCTCGTGTACATACACTATCTCTTTCTGGTCCTCAGTATTTGTATGGATGAAAGAGAAGACCAATCCGTCTATTGCAATGGATAATAACGTCTTTTTGTTTGGCAACATCAATGTTAAACGTAATAGGAAAGTGGTTAAATTAATATTGTTGATCTGTAAATTCAATATAATGTGTAAAATGAAAATGAACGAAAAACGACCCTCACTTTCAGTCTTAAAAAGGATGAGAAGAATTATTATTGGATGGAAAAATTCATGATCTATGGAACTGGAACTAGCTCCCAATTTCACTATAAATGGGACCAATTCGTCATATTTGGCCAAGGTTAGCAGGTGTTTAATATTATTGGAATTTAAATCTGTATTTCTTATTTTATAAATTGTTAGCATGGATGTTTAAAAAGACACAGTGAACAATAAATTAGAATCCCAGAAAAAAATAAATAAATAAATTCCCGATACCCCCAGGTCCCCTCCCCCACTAAAAACAGATGAATGGATATTGACCGAGGCTAACAAAAGCTTTCCCTCAAAAAAACACACCCCTGGAAGCTGGTGCTCCCATAAGATGCAGACTCCCGTGCCCCACAACTGGTAAAATCCTAGCTACGCCACTGCTTCTTCCAAATTTCTTGGTAAAGTCAAATATGACTGTAAAGGGTACAACAGGGATGTCACACTCTAGACTAAAATCAAACTTCTAATTTTAAGCAGTGCTTTCGAATTCCAAACAAACACTGTATACCTTTCTGATAAATTTATGTATCATCATACTATTATTCATAAATACTGTACTTCAGACCGTCTCCCTTAATTCAACAACGTGCAACTTGACCGTGTATTAACATTAATGCCTGCCGAGAAGTGATAATTTCCGCTGCGTAAAAATCACGCGCTGGCACATAGATACGAGATCGAGTCTGATTGCTCAGGAGTCAGTGTGAAAAGGAAAGTAACAATTTAGAACAAAATCATTGGAAAACCATCATATGTTGACTTATTTTGACTCTCTGAATAAAAAGATATTTATGACTGGGAATAAATTATGTGCTTGGCGGTGCGGCTCGGGCATTAGTCGCGTCCATTCTCCACGTTTAAGATCGGCCAAGCACGTCTTTATCCTCTTAATAAAGTGCCGCTTCTGCGCGGCCTTCCGAGACATCGCATTTACAGTTGTGACAGTTATCCGCACTGGCAGGATGGGAGGTGGGGGTGGCTTCGGAATCTCGTTGAAAAAGAGTTTAATCTGTTGACTTGTAAAGGAAAAAGAGACTTTCACCTTAACTACGAAAACTTGGCTGGCACTGCATGAGGGCAAATTAAACACACTTCCTGCGTATGGTATGCTAAAAATCGTTTTGCGTATGCCACAGTGCTTTAAAACCCTACCTGACCCAGAAATCAGTGAATACATGCATACCATCAAATTGTATTCACTCATATCAATTAGCAAGTCTTTAGAACTTATTTACAGTCCTCATGGGTTTTAAATTTGGCTACAGAAAGACATTTTTGCAATGGACGCATTGGCAAAAGTGCATTATTAGGCCCCCCAAAAGACTCTGGTTTCTGGTCATGGGCTTGGTCCAAAAGTGGTGCGGTGACGCGGGTGTTTTTTGTCTCTCCTTTTTTTTCCTTAGAAGTGATGCACATGCACATATACTTTAGAAGTATGGCCTTGTTACTATAAGAAGTGCGAATTAACAACTTTGAATGAATAAAACGACCATAAAATATGACGAGAGGCAATGGTTTCGGTTATCTCACTCAAACAAGAGGCTTCTATTCTTGACAATATTGAGCTTGTTAAAATACAGTAGCACAACCGTGGGACAAAAATAAATGTGAAAAATAAATGTTCTGCTCCAGTTTCCGGTTTTAAATGAAATTCTCATGAGGTAGCTGTATATGGCATTCTTTGCACATTGTTTTCTGCTTTAGCTTAGAGGAATTACGGTTGCACGTCAAATAGCCTATGAAAAATAATTGAAGATATTTCAGCTCCACAATCAAAATGAAAATAAAATTCTCATGAGGTAAATGATTTACTGTGCACATTGTTTTCTGTTTTAGCTCATAAGAAACAAACTGCGTATAAAATATTTGGGGATGGGAATTCAGCTTAGAAAATAGAATCTCTCACTCTAATCTACTTTGTTCTTGGCAAGTGACAATGCATGAGTTGTTACATGTATGGTAGTCAAAACGCGATGTCCATCGCCACTACATGCACTGCATGTGTGTGTACCGCCACTGCTCACCGATACTGAAATAGACTGGCCCTCACGGTTTGTTGATTAAATGTTTATATAAATTATTAAAAGCGTTTTTAATTTGTATACGTAAGCAGGACGTGAGACCACTTCGTTTGTCTGGTTCACAGACATGTGCCCAGGTCTGAATCAATTGGCTACGGCCGGAAATTACACCGAGTATTTGGCAGCATCTACGGCCAGTTCCCATAGAATCATGCACAATATCAAGGCGCAGCCAACTGATTCCGACAAGAATGACGTCATCTGATAAGAGTGCCCGACTGAAATGTATGGAAGCCTAGGAGGATTCCTTCACCGTACATATCACTCAACCCCATCCATCAAAAACACGTTAAAATTAGGCGGTAGCAGAATTCCTGCTGATCAAGTAAGTTTGGCGGCTTTTGGAAATCTTTTCATGCTAAATAACGAAATTTGGCCAACGTGCAGGTCTACAGCGACGCGCGCTTTGACCAGAAACCAGAGACTTTATTTGGCCTTATTGTTCTCCACGAATGATGGCGCCCTCTATTGACAATTATTTAGAATTTCTGGAAAGAGTACGAACAGGCAATAGCTACCGTAGTTTTCAAAAATTTCTCAGTGTGATCATTTTAAAGAGACATCACCTTAGTTTGGAACTGAGATCATTATGGATTTGTATGTCATTGCAACACAACGGGAAAGGAGGGGCAAATGAAGAAAAGAAATCGTGTTACTTCGTTTCACTTAATATTCTTTGAAATTCTTGAATTTTTTTAAAGACTCTGATTTTTTTCTTTCAGAGGTATTATTTCAATAAACCAGGTTCGTCACTCTGTATGGGTCCCTCTTTCGCTAAGCATTTTGCTATTAAAGTATGTAATAATTTGGAAAATCGAACAAGTTGCCTTTTCCAGTGACCTCTCTTTCCCATTCAGGTATGTTTTTCAGTTATGTTTTTCAGTTCTTCCGAGAGAAGCAATATTCGTTAGGCGACTGTTTCCTCAGTGCGTTCTGAACCATTGAGGTCAGGGTATCGGATTATATATGTATCTTGCTGGCGATCTCAATGAAATTGGGCTCTTTTGTTCAACCCATTTTCCTTTCAAGTATTTTTCAGTTATCTTCCAGTTCAGGTTGAAAGTAGACCATGTTTCTGTCCATGGAGGTACCTGTAGCTCCACCAAAAACCACAATTTCAATTTTCAGTATTATTTAATTCTCAGAAGTCTTTGTCAACAGTTTTAATCAACATTTCTATGTTAATAAAAACCACACAAAATGTGTTGAAATATCTTACAATTGACGAGCCGAGTTCCAAATCAAATACCCTATTTGGCTAATCGCTAGGCGGTTGGAAAAACTCTGTTATCCACTATTTCAAGCCATGACACAAGACTGAGTTCGAAATAAGCACGAGCAGTTCGAAATGTTAGAAAGAAATATTTGGCTCGTTTACAACATAACTGGTACAAAAAATATCTCTAAACCCTCCAGCGTTCGTTGGAATTGACAAATGACATTACCCCTGACAAAAACCTATATTTCCTTCAACTACCTCTCAGCTTAAATTCCACCTAAGCTGTGTTAAAACCCTCAAATTACGACTAACCTTTGCACACTAAGTTACAACGAAGTCGATGGCCTTCGAGCGAATGCGATGACAATGAGCGCTGAGCGCTGGGCCCGACGGTCATTGGCAGCCGTCACATACGATATAAGCTACATATCTCAACAATAGATGGTGCTGTTCATTGTTCTCCAAACAACGTCAATTCCTGGCTGACGACAGCCTAGAAAGTTGATTTTTATTTTTTGGCACAATGATTAAATGCGCGACTTTTCCGCTGGCATATATTTGTAGCTAATTAATTAGTCAACCAATTTATGAATAAGCTAGACATTTTTGCCCTAGCCGTTTATAGTGATTGTAAAACTGCATCTATGTCGATGTGTATTTTTCTTGTTTGGTACTTTTCATAGTTTACTGTAAATAGTAAACGGGAATTTCTGCACCCTACTCAGTATTTTTCGAAAGCAAATTTGTATCAGCTAAAAGAGTGTCTAACAAGCTACAAAATGATGTAAAAGGTTTCTCTCTAAAGAGATAAATTTGTTTTTGAAAAGCAAAGTTTTTTGTTAACATTTTTTCAATTATTATCACTCTACCTTTCTTCAAAAAGGCTAAGGTACGTACTTCAGTGGAATATACGGCAAAACTATTAAAAAAACAAAATAATTTTTGGTGAGCGTTATCGCATTAGATACTACTTCACTGATTAAAAGCATAACATAAAGGGGGAAAATTATGAAATATCTGGGTCTTTAATACAGCATAGGGTATGCATTTTCTGAAAGAGAGCTTTTACAGTTTGCTTCAATAATATTCTCAACCTTTCCACCTTTGCAGGTATCAAGTATTTGAAATCACACCCAAATCAAGAATTCAGTTTCAACAGATGATGGATTTGGACCACGAATTCTTTGACAACGTATGTATATCGAAGTAGTGTCTTAAAGGAGCATTCTTGACTTGGAGGGCTTACTGCAGTGGTTTTGCTCTAAAGATGCGTAGTTGATACGATGACAAACACGTATGCCACACTCTGAGCAAGACGTGGTGTTGACTTCGCACCAGTCCTGACGAAACATCAGTTCAGTGTGTATTCTCTTTTGAAAACAGCACAGATTAATAATAATTAATAAATCCTAATTTTGAGAAAAAAATTAGTGTATGTGATATACACAGAATAAACTAGGACCAAACAGGGTGTAAAGCCTGCGACCACTTTAGCCGATGGGGCCCAGCTTACGAAACACTTCATTCGGTCCCGGGTTAAACCCAACCGATGCAGAATTCTTATAGTAGCAATTTAATGGTTTTGTTTCTACCACTGCAAACATATAGCTTGATTTCTGGAAGACCGGTTCCGTCGGCGAACCCAGTCAAGTGATGGTGCCTCCCGTGCACGTGGACAACCTCAAGGAAGCTTTGGAAGAGTTGCAGATTGAGTTTGGGGTATACATTGACAACCTTCAAGCCCTCATTGACGAAGAGACGAAAGCTATCACCTCACGTGAGAAGGCCACAACCTTAGCAAGTTTCGATTACAATGTATACCACAGCATGCAAGAGGTAGGCCCCCCGTAGGATCAAATTTAACTCGACTAAATGTCAGTATGTACAAGCCATGTTCTAAAAATGGTATAATACGAAGCAGAATTAGAGTCAAAAGATCGGAACATGTTTCCGAGAAATGTAATGCTTTTTTACAAATCGATTTTTTTTTAATGTAATGTTTTTAAAACAGACCGTACTTCGAATTTTATGAAATTTTACAGACCTAACATGTTTTTAAGATTCGAATAAACTTTTTTGACCCAACATGTTTTTAAGATACGAATAAAATTTTTGGACTTAATATGTTTTTAAGATTCGAGTAAATTTTTTCATACCTAACATGTTTTCGCAATCCGAATGAAATTTGACAGACCTAACGTTTTCCAGATTCGAATGCATTTTCCCCGACAATAAACAGCCGAAGGTTTCAAGTTTTGACGGTGTTCGGTATGCGCATGCGCAGTCGAACTATAGATTTATTCCCGCTCCATTAAACAATGGGGCAGTCAGTGCTATAAGCCCCATGTTTCGAATTAAGTCAAGCGACTACATACGACGTCCCTGCACGTATGTTCAGCCCCCATAGACTGTGCACTCATTCAGTTTGTGTATTCGCGCCTGTGCAATAGTGACATAATTCGGCCTGAAAAATTATTCTAGCAGACGACGTATATCTTGGTGACCCATGTGGGGGATTGTATTGTCATTTCCATTGAAGACCTTGTGTATGAATAAATTGCCAAGAGTGTGTCAAATGGTGCAAAAAATCGCCGATAAAAAAATCAAAGAAAGTGGAAAATGTCAATTTTTCGACTAAGTACAATTATGAAAATCTATTGTATTTTTATCTGGCTTTGTGTCCAATTTTCACACTTTTGTCGAATTCCCCTCAGATCACCGGTGATACTGTCTGGAAGACTTGTATCTATCAGTTAATTTTTTCAAGATCGAGAGCCATTTGTCTGAAATGCATTTCGTTTTTCATGCGGATTCAAATTTCCACACGAGTTTGGCAGCGGTCAAAAATGAGATGTCCGGATTTCGGGCATGGTGCATGCTCGTACCTACGCAGACCTGGATACGAGTGCGTTTGGTTACGAGTTGAATGCGTACAATCACGTCAAGTTGCCCGATTATCAGGCACAAACAAAAACTTCCCGTTCTCATCCATACCGTTTCCTTCTTACATGATACTTTCGCATTTGAGAGTTCATGATATTCCTCATTATTCACAAGTAAAGAAATGTCAGGGAAAACTCCCAGTCGGCAAAACTGAAAAAAATCCCCTCTAACATGTTGGTTCACTTCCAACTTCTGACTCTGTTACTTTTGAGGCATGTAAGAAAGACGGGCGAAAATTTGGCCGAAAAGGATTTTTATCGTGTGCAAGTTATCAAAAGGGACTTTGAGTGTTGAAATACTAATCGGTATGGAAATAAGGGGCAAACAACTTTTTCTGAGCTTGATGTTGATCGATTACTTTTGGGGTCCACCTGTCCGAGTCAACTGGCTTCTGGCTACAGTGGCATTCAGTACGCATGCGCACAAACTAAGCGAGGGGCATGAACATACGTGGCCCGGCGCGCTGTGGCTCGCACTCACGGGCGTCCAGACGACGGACATATATAAAAAAAAAAGTGGACTTGCAACGTCTTGGTATGAAAGAGAAGCCAACTAGCGGCCATTTTACCAAGCCGGATACAAATGCGCGGGTTGGCTCGCTTCTATTGACGCCAGGGAGAACAAACGCGGGCATTGCCGGGCAAGCTTGGTAAAATGGCCGCTAGTGGATTCAATAATTTCTATAAGCTGATTAAGGGCATTGCGAGTCCAGATCTACGACCAGCAAAACATCCGTGCCGTCAATGTATTTATGTAGTCGCTCGACTTAATTCGATATTTGGGGCTTATAGCACTGACTCGATTGTTTAAGGGAGCGGGAATAATTCTATAGTTTGACTGCACATGCGCATACCGAACACAGCCGAATCATCGAAAAAGATTCGGGACTTCGGGTACCATCGGGCCAAACACCGTCAAGAAGATGCTTTCTCAATTCGGCTGCTTTCTCAATATTTGGATGCTTTTTAAAGTCGGATGCTTTCGAAATTCGGATGCTTTCTGAATTTGGATGAAATGCGGTGCGAAACTTGAAACCTTCGGCTGTTTATTGTCGGGGAAAATGCATTCGAATCTGGAAAACGTTAGGTTTGAAAAATTTCATTCAAATCTTCAAAACATGTTAGGTATGAAAAAAATACTCGAATCTTGAAAACATATTTCGTCCAAAAAATTTTATCCAAAAAAGATATTATTAGGTACGAAAGATTTCATTCGGTTTTGGAAAATGAATTCAAGAATTCAAAGTACGGTCTGTTTTAAAAAAACACTTGAAAACAAAGAAAAAATCGATTTTAAAAAAAAGCATAACATTTCTCGGAAAACATGTTCCGATCTTTTTTACTCTAATTCTGCTTCGTAATATAAAAGCTCGTATTGATGTGTTATGTCAGTCGGACCACTTCAATATTTCTGACTTCTGCAATAACTTTTACGGATTTTTTTTGTTGTATCAAATGATCAGTTCTGCAAAGACTCCACAGATTTTATGTTGCCTTTTAATGGTAGATAATAAGAATTTTAAAAAATAGAGACTAGGAATAAATGACGACATGTTGGAGTCTTTCAACATCTAATATAAAACAACACAAAGAGCATGTGTGTAAATCCGAGGGATGGAGAATATACCCCCCCACGTTTTGAGGGGGGATGGGCTACTGAATCACACCCTAACTTTTTGTGGTGAGCAAAAAATAGAAGCAGATTTTGAAGGATTCTTTTTTAGACTTTAACGACTAAAATGCATTCAATACCACCCCAAATGGAGGAAAAATTTGAAGCCATAAATATGCCTTTCTGAAAATGTTACAGATGTACATCAATATCATGGACAATGACCTCTTTTTAGAATCATATGGTGTCCCCCCCCCCTTTTCAATTTTCATGTCCAGGCAATCATCCCCTGCCTTTTCTCATCCCCTTCACCTCCAATTTCTGGCACAAATTTACACCACTGACAAAGAGGCACTCGTCCACTGTTTGTCCGGTCGGTGCGTCTCTGAACTTCTTTCTCAATTATCGTTCGTTTTTTAGATCTTGGACTGGATGAAAGCCTTTAGCCAAGCCGAGTCCTCAAGTTCTCTTACAATCAAGGAAATGCATCTGGGCTATTCAGTTGAGGGACGTCCACTCAAGGCATTGAAGGTGAGAAAAGGACATCATAAAGTATGACTGTATGGCTTTGAGTCTACTTGGTATCGTCCTGCATGTTAGGCTTCTCTAACCAAAGTTCAGGGTCCAGATTCTGTCACGCATTGAACAGTAAGTTTCTTCTTACAGATTTTTACAGGGAGCGGCCAGTTTGGGGCTTACACCCAAGGGGGCATACATGCTAGAGAATGGGTCTCGCCTGCCACTGTCATCAACCTCGTCCAAAAGGTCAGAAAATAATGTCCTGTAAAGTTTGCTATCTTACCAGTAATGCCCACATAACATTCCCCTTTTCCAAGATCCAAAGCTGACCGGCATATTTTTGAAAGTTTCCCCAAAGCAATTGCTTTAACTATATTACGAAGGAATTTCTGAAGTTCCCCTATATACTGGGAGTAAGCTAGCAAACTCGATGCAGTGCCCTACAAAAGAATGCACATGCACCCAACCCTAAATGCGCGTTGCATCAGGATGTTCCCGATTCCATTCAGTCCCTGAGCAAATTCCACCCTTCTGATGCCTTATTTTAATCGCCAGTTCGTTGCAGCCTTCAAGAGTGGGGACAGCGTAGCCACCCAATTTTTCAACAAGTTCGACTGGTACGTTATCCCTGTACTCAACGTTGACGGTTACCACTACACTCGTCCAGAGTCAGTAAGTCTGATTTTTTTTCAGTAATTCGGACATTTCACAAAAGTGCGCCTCCAAGAGTTTGCAACTCATTGACCTATCACAGTGCGCGAAATCTGTCGACCCAATGCGCGTTTGGAAAGGGTCGACAGATTTTGCGCATAGGGATTGGCCAACGCATTGCGAACTCTTGGAGGCGCACTATTGTGAATTGCCCGTATACGATAAATCCAATGGGCCATTAGCACAAATTACTCTTGGCTTAGCCCTTGCTCCCCACATGGTCTGATAAAAGAATGATATTCCTCCAAAATGGTTATTTCCCGTCTCTTACAGGAAAGCACATAAATTTACTGAACAGTAACTATACGTAAGCACGTCACGAGCACAATTAAAGGCATAAACATTTGCGCTACACCTCCCACTTCCAAATGACGACACTTCGGCACGCTTCTATGGGTTTTGTAAGTGGAGACGTAGTGAAAGCTAACGCATTGTACAAAGCTGCAGTAGAAACATTGTGAGAAATTTTCCTCCACTCCCACTTCTGAGGTAAAATTCCAAAGTTGTACAGAATTACAAGTTGTACATACGTCCACGGAGGCTTCTTTACCTCCATGGTACATTTATTCTCGTATATACGAGCAACTGAAATTTTAACTCAGAACTGAGAACTGAATTATTATTTTTGTTCCTAAAACAGCTTCGTAGCAATGCACAGACTTGACAAAAACACCAATAAAGCAAACTTACAGCTAGACATGAAATGTAGGATTAATTTTCTTGTCTCTTCTATATCTCCTGATCATCGCTCCAAGTCTGAAAAACACTCCTGCTCCATCTAAAAAATATACACAAAACGCTCACCAAATACAATGTATATCTACCGCTGCTCTAGAATCTTGTAACTCTTGCCATCGACACCGTAACCGACAATCTCACGGGACTTCAGAGAGCTTGTAGTATTCACGTATGTTCACTCCCATCCCATGCCCTTGTGCACCACTTAGTTGAGAGTTAGCGCATGCACACTCGATCACTTTACTGTGGATTTTGAGGCAGGCTATGTCGGACATCGTTGGGACACTTCTTTCCGCGGATGGAGATCATAATTTTTTTGAACAAAATACAAACAAATAAAGTTCACGCATATAACCTGATAACTAAAAACTGATTTGACAACATTACTCTATTGATGTGTTAATTATTCACTTACATTTCTTCGACTAACCTCATTTTGCTTGTCACAGCCAATCAGAAGTTCCTTCTACTACTCCTTCTACTGTGCACAGACAAATTAAAGGGGATGGGTTAAACCAATGTAATATATGAACCCAGTTGCATACAATTTGAAACAAATTCTGAAAAATTGATTTTTACAAAAAAAATAAATACGATCAGATTTGAAAGAAAATACGTCCACGGTCTTTCCATTTTAAAACAACTTGTCCAGTTTATCCGAAGTGTACTAAGACGCCAAAAAATAATAAGGCCTAGAAACTCTTATTTTGCAGGCTGTTTTAAACAATAATGGTATAAAGACATTTTAGACTTACAGTTAAATTGTCTTGATATTTCTCGGGCTTTCGAAAGTAATTAGTACGGATGCTTAAAGTGACCATCTGCGTTTTTATGTTTCCAAGATATTTTGTGTGTTCTCATATTTCGGACGTGATTCCCATAGAGTATGATCGGGGAAAACATCTGTTCCAGATATGATATCACAGGAAAGACGTCTTTCTGCAGTAGAATATAACNAAAAAGACGTCATTCCCAGATACAGTATCACTGACAGATGTCTTTCTTAGATAGAATATCACGGAAAGATGTCTTTCCTAGAAATGACATCGGGGAAAAACGTCTTTCTGAGAAATGACATCAGTGAAAGACGTCAAAAAGATCTCCCCATACCGTCTTTCCAAGATAATATATGTGAGCGTACATCTTGGAAGCGTGGAAAGGCCGATGATCACTTTAAGCTTCCGTAAATCATTAATCTTGCAGACATCCTTATTTATCACTGAATGAAGAACCAAAGTAGTTTATAACACATGCAAGTATACTTACAGAAATACTTGAAATATCTTTTCCTGTAGTCACCCAACGATCGTATGTGGCGTAAGAATCGACAATCAACCTCCTTTTCCTTCTGTAAAGGAATCGACATGAACAGAAACTACGGCCACGAATGGGGTAATCTTATTTCCTGATTGAAAAAGAGGCCGAACGGTCATTTGTGAACAAATCCAAGAGAACTGTTTTGGGCGAATGAGTTTGAGGCAAGATGTATTAGCCTTGCTTTATTTACAAACGCTGACCCCCGTTTCGTGTGGATGGAAATTTTTGTACAAATTTAACCGATAGATTTCCCTACACATCTGCCCCATGAGAAATATACACATGAAGCAAGATAGAGACGGAGAGAACCCCCCCCCCGTGTTGGTCATTGTTTCACTATAATCTGACGAATTCTTTTCGGACGTCTAGTGCGGAGGGGGGTGTTTGGTTAACAATAGTGTAGAGTATGTGAAGTGATTGGATATGTTGGGGGTAGCCCTCCGTCTCATTTTTCTGGATATAGACGTATAGACCTTTTTCACCCACGTGACTGGATTGCGCTAAATGTAAACAACACCACCAGTGCGGACTGCCTTGGCTACAGTGATCGCATTATATTCCTACGGGCAGCTTCAACCACGTACAAGCGCACGAGCGAACTCTGCATGCTTGACTAATTTATCTTGAATAAGTAGATTACCATTACAACACTATTCACTCATTACCGTCACAACATCTACATCGCAGCCCAGCACGATTGTGACATCACAGGAAAGAGGTCTATCCGAGTACCCGGCTCGTGGGTGTGACGGCAATTCAGTTTAAACCACGCCCAATGCACTTCAAATAGCACGTATGTTCATGCCCCTCGCTTAGTTCGTGCGCATGCGTACTGAATGCCACTGTAGCCAGAAGCCAGTAAAATGGCTCTTGACTCGGACAGGTCGATCAACATCAAGCTCAGAAAAAGTTGTTTGCACCTTTTTTAAATACCGATTAGTATTTCAACATTCAAAGTCCCTTTTGATAACTTGCACGTAAAATTTAAAAAAATCCTTTTTCGGCCAAATTTTTGCCCGTCTTATCTACGTACCTCCAAAGTAACAGAGTCGGAAGTTGGAAGTGAAGCCAACATTTTAGAGGGGAGTTTTTTCAGTTTTGCTGAGTTTTCCCTGACATTTCTCTACTTGTGATAATAATAATAATTATAACAGGTTTGCCCTTACCCAACGTATATATACGTTGGGTAAGGGCAAACCTGTTATAATTAACATCTCCCCAACGCAAAAAATACATCTTGAAAATAATAATAATAATATTAATAACACAGTTTTTATATAGCGCATCACACCAAAGTCTTGATGCGCTTCACAAGAAACAACAATTAAAAGCAATTAATGGAACAGGTAAGTTTTAAGGACTGCTTTAAATTCATTTTCGAATAGTGAGGAATATCATGAACGCTCTAATGAGAAAGTATAATGCAAGAAGGAAACCGTAGGGATGAGAACGGAAAGTTTTTGATTGGGCCTTTTAGTCGGGCAATTTGACGTCGTTGTACGTATTAGTGCAATACAGTAAAGTCTACTCGTATCGAAACGCACTCGTCCCCAGGTGTGGGTGCGTGTACGTGTATACCATGCCCCAAATCGTGACATCTCATTTTTGACCGCTGTCCGGTCATGTCGGACTCAGTGCGGATATTTGAATCTGCATGAAAAACGAACCGCATTTCAGACAAATGGCTCTCGATCTTGAAGAAATGAACTGATGGATACAAACGATTCATCAGGCTTCCAGACAGTATCACCGATGACCCGAGGGGAATTCGACAAGAGTGTGAAAATTGGGCACTTAAGTAAGTTGAAAAACACGGAAAATGATAAAAATAGATCCGAAGTAAAAAAAGAGTTTCTAGTCTTTTATGTGGCATCAAACTTATTTCAAGGTAAACCCGGCAAAATTATGAAAATTTGACACAAAATTAGCTAAAAAACGATAATTTTTCATAATTATCCTTTGTCGTAATATTGACGTTTTTCCACTTTGATTTGTTTCAGAAGCTATTATATATCACCATTTGATAGATTCTTGGCAATTTATTCACACACGAGGTCTTCAAGGGAAATGGAAAGACACATCCCTCACCCATATGTGTCGTCTGCTAGACTATCAGTTTTCAGGCTGACGACAATATGTTGCTATTGCGCATGCGCGAATTCACAAACAAAACGCACGCACAGTCTATGGGGACCGAACATACGTGATAGAGAGACGTGCGCTGATCGCCGTTTACATGGAACCATGGAACCGGTTAACGCGCAACTTAAGCGATCGTCCGATAGGAGCCTGCAAATCGTGGCACGTCCGTGTGTATGACAAAGTCATTCACGAACAGGATAGGGAAAGTGGTATTTCCATTTAGGCCTAGTTGTACATGCATTTTATTATTCAGTACATTGATAGGTACATGTACAATTTTCAAATACAAGTAGTTTGAGTTATTCTTGCAGTTGCATTCAAAGACTGTACGTCATTTAAACAATTTCTGCGTCCCAGTTAAAGGATTTTTCTTGACGGAATATTTCGATTTTCCTACCAAACTTATACAGTTACAAAAAATGGTTCAATACATTTGTGGCGGGTGTGTCTCTACACCAAAACTTAACAGAGTAACAGTATGGGAGAAAGATTTAAATATTCTCTGAAAAGGGGGTTCCTTTTGGGGCAGGGAGTGTGTATGTGGATTTTAAGCCTTTTGTGGGGATACAGGTCCCTAAAGGTCCTTAGAATATGGCCTTGGCGTGTGAGCGGCCGATTGAAAATGTACAGGGTATGACTTTGGTGATCTTATTCTCTCATATTTTCTGGCTGTGTTCGGTTTTTCTTCAGAAAATCTCATGAAATCGTTTTGCTATTAGTTTCAAATTTAAGTGGAATTTTTAAAACTCTGTAAAAAGAATTCATAATCGTAATATTACCTGGGAGCTGTGCGCACGAGATCGCCGTTTCTTAGTATCTCTTTTATCGTAACTATATAAACTATATTCTTGAAGCCAACCTGTGCATTAAATTTGTTAAAACACGCACTGATGTTTATCGTACATGTACCGGTACTGTACCCATTTGGTACGCTGCTTTCTGCACTTGGGAAATCTGAAGAACCAGATTTCTTTCTCTTTGGAATCTGCACTTTGTCTTGTACAACCCCACACACAAAAACTGGACATACCGTTTCTTTCAGTAGTACTATGTACATGTACATTGAACATCTGTACGTCTTTTGACAAATGCACAGGTTGGCTCTAGAATGTAAAATATACTACTTATGATGGGAGGGGCCATACGAAGAAACGGCGATCTCGTGCGCACAGCTCCCAGGAAAAACAACGACTATGAAGTCTTTTTACAGAGCACTAAAAATACCACTTAAATTAGAAACTAATTTAAAAAACGATTCAATGAAATTTTCTGAAGAAAAAACTAAACCAAGCCAGAAAACCTGAGAGAAAATGATCACCAAAGTCGCACCCCTGTACATTTTCAATGGACCGCTCACACTTCTTGCCGCCAAAGCCATTTGTAAGCTTGCGTACATAATTATGAGTTATTAATGAAGAGGTTGCTCAGAGTTGTTCAAGTCAAACATGTGCTGAAAGCGCAAGCCATGCCAAAGAATCTTCATAAATTGGGAAGGACTTCCAGCCAGTACTTGGAGTGTTATTACATGTATTAGTTATTAGTTATTAACAATAACTGTGTTAACTTTCCAAGGTGGGTCTGGTTCCTCTAGCAACCCCTGCAGTGAAGTTTATAGTGGAGAATACGCATATCATGCGAAGGAACTCAAAATGGTCACGGACTGGCTGCTCAACCTGAAGAAAAGTCAGACCTTTATGATCCACGTGGATGTCCACAGCTTCAGCCAGTATTGGGTCTATCCTTACAGCTACACTTACAGTCAATATGATAGGACCAGAGATCATGATGACCTGGTGGGTATATCAAAGCACAGGGTGGGATTGCATGATGGTGGTTCAGTGGTGTATGGATCGAGTGTAACCATAGAGGAACGACACAGGAGAATTCTCAACTGCCCGGGCTGTAACATCTGGCCAATTACCGCTTTCCGGCATACCTGGTACATGTATGTCCATAGAGCGCAGCGAACGCTTGCTACGCGCGCATCTTGTTTCACAACCATGAAACCCCTTTGTACCCGATGATCACCGTCGCAATTGTCGCTGGTAATCTACATCCTTAAAATTTTGTGAACTGAGGTATGGGAAATTGAATATTCATTCATTTGTCATGACAACATCAGATTTAATGCATGCGCAGTTTCTTGCGTTAGTTTTATTTGAATCATTTTTATTATGGCAGTTGCACAAAAGCGTACTTTATGAGATTCCATGATCACTCCCTGTGTTGAAATACTGCATTTTGTTACTTATGAACTTAGCTGTCCAGTAAAAGTCAACATTTTGTTGGCCAGTGTTTGCCAATTTTGTACCAAGACTTTGAAAACTGATGTATTGGAGGGAGTAGAATAAAATGACCAACCTTGCATGGATAATGAATGGAACAGTGTATCAAATTTTAAAAACTATTATTAAAGATGGCAAAAGTGGGTCTAATATCAGGGATTTTTCCGTATTTCCTGGTCACAGCAATAATTTGTATTTAATTGCAAGCAAAAAACTACAAATATTGCTAAGATGTTACTCGCCCCGCTTGTCCCACTAAGATGCAGGCGGTAATCAGGCATTTTTGGGATGTTTTCTATTATTCGGTCGATTCGGCGGCCATCATTGAACACTCTGAAGTACCAGAGTTGCTCCTTCTGTGCCCTTCCTCTTTGGTATAAACGATAATTAGCACACACGTCGGACTTCTGTGAGGGTGGGTGGATTTAAAGCCTACCTACTAGTCCGAGTTACTTGGACCCAACAAATCGCCATAAAAAAATGTCCAAATGTTTTTTTAAAAAGGCTATTTGTAGGGTCAAACTTACTTGGACTAAGAATACGTACTTTTACGATCCAGACGAGACCTGCTACTTTCTCAGAAAATTTGTAGGCCCCAGATGTACACCTTTGTACGCATTTACTTGTAGCAAGCTTTCGGGAGATTGGATTCCGATATTTTTTCTGGGGCTTCCGATTTCGGTCATATCAATTTGCCCTTTCATTATAATAGCAGACTGATTACAATTTATTTGCTTGTCCATAAAGCTTTGGTTATTTCATGGTACTCAGAACAACAAACAGAACAGTCTCACTCTGACCAAATCTTTGAAGTCTTTTATAGACCGACATGGGTGATTCAAATAACACAGCCAGAGGACTTGCAATATTTTTTTACTGCTTCACTTCACAGGAACGGGTGGCCAAGGCTGCGACACAGGCACTGACAGCAGTGCATGGCAAAAAATACAAAACAATGACATCTGGAGACTGGTGTAAGTACATGTACTTCCGAAAACGAGTGATAAACGCATCTTGAAATTCTGCCCTTATACTGGTTTGATTCATAACATGATGGAATGCAAAGAATAAGTGCAAAAATTGGGAAAGACTAAAGCCAGTTAATTAACTGGCCTTGCCTATCATTTCGCAAACACTCTCAATCTGAATTGGTTTTTTAAAGCAAAGTTTGAACTAAACACGCTGAATGTAGAATTACAATGAAAAAGAACAAAGTGTAACTGGTGGGAAACTGAACGATGCAACAATTTTAACTGACGAAGATGGGTTTGCAGTCTAAACTCTGTTTGACACTGATGCATGCAACCAGGTCATTCTACTGAAAGGAAGACACAAATTTCTATTTTGCTTTGAAAATGATTTTTTTCATGATTTATGTTCAAAAAGTCGTATCTTCTTTTAGTGCTCCCTGATCACCACTTCCCAGGTTATATCGTGTAATTGGGGTGTGATCCCTGGCCACATGGTGTTTCACTGAGGTTTAATGGTTTCTGGCTAGCGTCGCCCGAACAGAGATATTGACAAATGGGAAGAGCCACCAACATTGGGCTGGGTAGCTCACTTGGTAGAGCACTGGTACGGGGTTCCCGAAGCTGCGGGTTCAAATTCCCTTCCAGTCAATTTCTTTGTTCATCTTCATATTCATTCATAAGCACCTACTCAGTTACCCTATATGATTTGTTTCATTAATTTCTTTGAAAATGTTTAAAAAGGCAAGTCTTATCTTGAGGGCAAGGTCATATTTTTTACTTTTCACTGATGAAAACCCTGGCATCGAGATAAGACTCCCTCAGTTTGTAACTAACTCTAATTCACCCAAATCCTTCAAAATCCACTAGGATATGAGGTTTTTGAGGGATTGAGGAAGGTAGAGACAAGCCACTACTTTCTGTCACAGGACTCGATGCAACTTGAAAATTAAAACCACACAAATGTGTGGTAGTGGAGGATTGCGAAGAATTAAGGGAAAGTGCTGATCGAATCGCTAGGGCGCTTAGGTTAATCAACTTTGTATCCCCAAAATTTGTGTTCGACAGACCCGGCAGCTGGAGCGAGTGAGGACTTTGGATACGAGATCTTAGGGGCCAAATACTCCTACACTGTGGAAATGCGGGACACAGGATATTATGGGTTTGAGCTGCCTGAGAATCAGATCAAACCTTGTGGAGAAGAAACCTACGCTGGGTTCAAAGAGTTGTTCCGACAGGTCCTGAGAGAGGTTTAAGCATAACTTAGAGGGGTTGGAACAGGAACTGACAGTAAAGAAAAGATTATTATAAAATAATCGAGAAAATGTTATTAAATAAAAAAAGTAAACGATACAGTTTGAAAGCAACACTACTGTAATACTAATGCAATGGAACGCCGCTATAACGAACACGACTGGGTCCACGCTAAATGTTCAGTACCTCGGTCGTCAGGTATAGCGAAATCAACTGCCGAACATTTCGTTACCATGTTAATTAAATAGCGCCTTCTCTTGTCTAACTGAAGTGCACTCTCTTGTGAAACTATAATTCGCTGTTTTCGTGATGTTTTGCCGTTGCGTTAACGTTTGAAGTTTCTAGAAATGTATCTGTTAATTATTTTTGTTTTTTATTAAATCTTGAATTTAAATGATATTTAGTTTATTCTACAAGTCGTGAAGCTACCGCTCAGGATCGATATCTGATTCATGCTGTGGCGCATTTGCAAATGCATAATGTTCGGTAAGTTTTGTTTACAAAATATTGGGTGCCAAGGACGATGTTCGGTACAGTCGAATGTTCGGTACAGCGGTGTTTGGTATAGCGACGTTCCACATAAATGATTGACGGTCACAAAGAAGAATGTAAAACCTTTAAATAAACCCTTCTAATTATGGAGGAATCTTGTGAAACAGTATCCATCAAAAGGAAAGTGACAGAAAGTAAGAAAAGATTCTCAAAAGAAAATAAGGGAAAGTGTCCTACGGGTTTACGGAATGGTAATGGGTATTGTGAGTAAATACGAAGAAACCTAAAAGCACTCTGACAAAAACTCAGTGCTGACATTTAGACTTGGACCGCGCAAGCCGATGTAGCGAACCCTTTTATTTTAAACAGGAGGCCTTGTTGCATTTTTCTTCCAAATTTACCTGTAAGATGTTTGAAAACTTTTAAATGAAAACTGTCAATAGAGGGGCACATAGTCAAGACAGGTAATATGTTCACGGTACATGTAATTCATTGTGAAAGTGTTCTGCGTTTATAAAACAGGGCACAAGAACTCACAGGGTGACATGATGCCTCCATTCTTCTCGGCAAATTTATTCAAAAATGACGAAAAAAAAACGTTTTCCCTCGGACAGTATATCACTAACTTTATTCACTTTTTTGCTGCATACAACAAAAACAAACAGAATTCACTTTTCTGATTTTAATTATCTTAAACAATGTCACCTTGCACATTTAACTGTAGAATCAAATGAAACTGAATTAACTGAAGATATGATTGTAGACCACAGTGTCGGTTATTGAATGACACATGTTCACTCAACTCTGCAGTGACGTTAAATGAATGTCGATCTGAGCTTAAGAATAAACAGAACATTGTATGGGCAAGTATGCAAATAAGCTTTTCGTTTGGTTGGTATATTCAATTTGTGTCATCGAAAGGGGGAAATGGGCGCTATGTGCATGAAAAGGAGCCTGTTTTGTAACAAGAGAATGGTGAAATTTCAGGCTTTTCATGGTGAAAGACAGCAATAGGTGGAAAGGCTTGCAGTAGCACCATGCGAAGGAATATATCTCTCTTATGAGTATGTGTGGTTCTGAAAAGAACCGGGAGTATGCTCAACGTTTCGGACTGCGTGCTCAGTCTGTCGTCAGGAGAGAAAGGTGATTTTTTAATCCATTTAAATTCCCTTCCTTCAAAGGCATGTAAAAAGCACTTTAAAATATAGCCTACCCATATGAAAAGCAATGAGAGGCTACACGAAATAATTACCAAACTTTTGGCCCTTCCCCCAAATAGGATTTTGGATATACCCTAGTTAGCGCTCTATGGAACATCTACACTTCCATACACAACGTGCCACAGAGTTCCCTTTGGGATACATGCCAGAACTTACTTGTGTCCAGAACTGAAAAAAGAGAGTATATGCTCTGCTACAATCAGTGGCAGAAATTTGTGGCAGAAATTAGGGATGGGCATTTAGGGGGATCTTTTTATTGGATGGTGGGGGGGACTGACATGAGACACTATATGGGGGGCGATGTTTATGATAAATGCACATCAGTATTATGTACATACATTTAATCCATGCACAATATTACAGAATGTAAGTTATTAAGTCTTCACAATCCTCTTTTTGCTCGCCACAAAAAAGTGGGGGGTTGGTTCTATAGCCCCCTCAAATCATGGGGGGGGGGAATATATCCCCACCCACCCCCTACCAGAATCCCCTGTGGATACATTATACAGGTTTCCGTCTAAACAAAAATGGGAAAATGATCGGTGGTGAGGAATCTGCCCTAAGCAGAAGGCATCCAAATTATCGACAACTTGCAAGCAATTTCCACTGTTCTAGAAACGGTTTTTACCCTGCACAAACAGTCTGTCCAGAATCTCTTAGTGCGTATTGTTGTTATCTCCGTCCGATTGCATTATTGTTCAACAGTTCTACGGGTTGTTTCTTTCGTGTGACATAACTAAAACTGTTTAGGTATTCAGCTGCCGAAATAGTATTTTAGTTGTTTTCGCCAACAGCTGTGCGTACATAGCATAATCTCTCATACATGCAGGGCTTGCTATCTCAAAAGGAAGTAATTCAATAACCCAACAACCATAACAACAGCAGAATGATTGACGCAAGCTGACAAGGGCACAGCTAACAGGTATCTTTCATTAGTTGGCATGTTTATTCCAGGAAATTAATGATTAAACTTTTCATCTTTAAACCAGCACACTGTTGCCTATCAACAATAATGTCAAATTAACTTCAGGTGTTTTAGTAGCCTTAATATACTCATTGCATCCAGACCAGAAAAGAATTAAATTTGAGTATTTGGCCTACACATAACGTAATACACATGTATAACCTATTCCAAAGTGGTGGTTCCTTAGGTTAGAATTGAACTTTGCTGGTTCAAGAACGATTATGACGTTAACACATTACGGTCGCATCGCTAAAAACAAAATGAAAACTCCTGGCCAACATGGCTCTTTTCAACCGATGAAGGAGTGCTTCCGCTCGAGGATGGCTGTCTCATCTCGTAGGGGGTTTGGCTATGGCAGGTAAAAGTGAGCCTGAAGCCCACCGAACTAAAAAATCACTTACCAAGCCCCTTCGTCTGCCGCTGAAACTCTGGAGTCGACTAGGAGGGTGTCCTATCGTGCTTTCATTGGGTTCATCTGTATTACTGTAAATGAGTGCATTATGCGCACCTTTCAGTTTCTCTCTCTTTCTTCAGTTTTAATCGCGTCTTTTTCCAAATTACATTAGCTTTTATATACGGAGGCAAAATTGTACCCTGTATGAAAGTGGGTTTTACATTAAACACTTCAAATTGTGTGAAATAAACGGAAAGGGTGAAAGGAGGGGATGAGTTTGGTGATGTAGGTGAAAAGATGACTTCAGATAAAGACAAAGACTTGAGATGATAAGCCACAGAAGAGGGAGTGAACGAATACATGTACATGTATGTTATAGGCCCTAACCGGGAAAACTCGGAAATAGCCCATTAATGGTTGAGCTGCTGACACCAGAAGACGACAGCTGGATGTCGGTAAACAGAATATTTGAAAATCCCACCTACGTCAGCTTGACCTCAGCATCGGCTGTTAGGGGGATGTTGGACCGCCGTGCACCAACCGTACTTACACACTGACGCCCCGACGCAAATACCACCTGCAGCCAACGGTACGTTTTCACCGACTAATTTTTCAATCCCATACCGACTTTCCAAATCCGTTGGCCCGACGTTATATTCTTTTCCAACTTCTACCCAAGATGCTGCCCTGATATTCGAGCAACACTATCTCACCTTCCCGCATTCTCCCTCAAGATGAAAATAATGTATCAGTCCATCGACATCCCAAATCTGCCAAACTGCTAAGATCGATCTGTTCTTCAAACCTTCGATATACCTGGGCATTCTGCTTGTCAGTGTCAAGTATGTGTGATGACGAATTGACTGTGGGTCACGTTAACATAAGAAGGGGATTGATAGCAAGATTTTACTTTAATTTTGCAGGCAAGATTCAAATTAGGCTTAACAGATCGTTATAGATGCCTGCTTGTATGCAGGCAGGACGTGGCTTTGACGTGGCAGATAGATCATACCCTGAAAGACAGCCCAACACCACTGGATGAACATGTCCGTTGTTATTTGTCCCACTGACGTTGGCAAAACTGAATAACAAAGGTCAAAACGCCGACGCTGGCTGGAGGGACTGACCAGTGATAACGCGGCCAAAATTTCGGTTGTCTTCGTCCTCATAGGCAGCCTGACATAATTTCACAAACGTTGGCCGACCGTCTACATGGTGTGACTGTATGATGTATTTTGGCTGACCAAAGCCGACGTTGCGCAGACTACGTCTTAGCAGCTTAATGAGCAATTCCTTTTTCAGTATACTGTAGCGTGTCCTACTGATAGGGTTCTGACGCTTACACAGACACAAACAGCTAGCCACAAATCGCCGTTCCGGCCAAGAAATCTTGGTTTTTATTTCTTTTACGTTTCAACACTGTGTCGATCCAAATCTCTAGACACGAGGCGTCTAGCCGGGGACTGCGCAGGCGCGAGGCGGGAAAACCGCGGGCCGTTCGCATACTAGCGGGGGCAGCCAGCTAGCTCAATGCAGGTCCGAGTTGGTGCCCTCACCGGCCGGACCCGCCCGCGCTACAATACAGTCACAACCTTTAGGCTTCGGCACCCTTGGTGCCAAGAGCACGTTCGCTATGGGCTCCTATACTGCCCGAATTTCAGATCCAATCCACAGTCAAGTAGCTGTTCAAAGCTACCAAGGAACTCGGCATAGGAGTCTCATCGCTGAGTACAGACTGTAGGCTGTAGGCACGTGACTGTGTGAACTGGAGAGCCTTGTCTGTTCCGAACAATCATCACCAATTGGAAGCCTTTAATCACACTCCCAAATCGTTATTAGCGTTGTCACTGAAATTGATACAACAATAAGGGCAATGACGAACTTCACGGAAATATATAAGAAAGAACTTCGATATGTTTGCGCTATTACCTTTGCGTTCAATTTTCCAAGCTAAAAAGGTATGATACCAGTGGCAGTTAGGGCAATGGGTAATGATCGAATCTGTGATTGAACGTTAAGTGTGCTGTTCCTACACTGTTGTTCATGGTTCAAGAATGGTCACAACTTTTGGTAGCAATGGGAAACCTCTTCGATTGCTCAAGATGTGGAAGCAACAAATTCTAAATTTCAATTTGCAATTAATAAGAAAAACGAGCATCTTAATGAATGATCTAATTATGAGTAATAATTGGGAAGAATGGAGTTATTCAGTTACTCTATCTACAACAGTTCCTTAGGGGAATCCAGTGTGAATTACTTCCCATGAGAAAAATTCCCTCTGTGCTTTACACGTCGTTGGCGACAGTTGAGGAAGCTATGATACAAATACAATTTTGAATTAAATCGAACTGTAACTCTCATGACACGTGCTACATCAAATAAACCCTCCTCAAAAATGTGTAAATTGATGGCTGTCACGAAATGCGTAAATGGTTTGTGATTTTTCTAAAACAAACACCAGTATAGAGCCACAAAGCAAAAATTTCCACAGGGTTTAGTCGCAAATTCCAAAGGGGGAAGTGGAATCATTTTAAAAAGGTAAAGGGAATGTGTCACGGATTTGCTTTCTTGCCAACTTTAGCCACCCTGTCAATGCCTTCAAGGGTAGAGGAAATGGCCTCTTCTGGAGAAAGGCCACTGCAAAGAGTTAAACTGTAAATAAATACGTCAAAATGCAAAAACCACCAATAATATCCTACCCTGGCCAGTCCATGCTGAAAACCTGGTTGAGTCACTTTAAAGTCAGGGCCTCCTCTATCCAGAAAAAATTCCAGTCGGCTTCCAGCCAATTTCCATTATATTACAAAAACAGTGCCTGGGCCAGGCAGTGGAATGCTTTTTTTAATCAGTGACAGCTGTCAGGAACTTGTCAGAAGCCTGTTTCGGCTGTCTTTGAAGTGTTATTTTGGCGGAAAGGTGGTGTTGTGGCTTGGTTGGCACGTGGCAAGACCCCCCCCCATCGGGTTAGCCTGGGAAACAAGGCCCCTGACGGTACTGTGATCTACTTTTTTGCAGGTTTTAGGAGCTGTAGAGGCTACAGGAGAACAACTAAAGTATTTAAATGCCCTTAATAAGGAATCTGAGCTCCGAAACCCGAGAAATGATATGGCCTCTTCAGAAGAGCAGCCCGTGCAGCCAAAAATACCTAAGGGCATCGTAGGGTAAAAATTTAGCTAGTTTCACCGCGCATGGGTATAGCCCTGATTTGAGAAACTGTCTACGAACGTACACAACTGTTTCACAACTTTGCACAAGTAATGATCCCCAGTGACCATATTTCCAAACAACATACAATGGCAACATTTACTACAATGGCAACATTTACTGGAACATCTGCTCGACACACGTTACGGTTCTATACATTACACAAAATAGAGCCTTGTTACGTTTGTACTTTGTACAGGGAAAGTAGATTAGCTAACTTCGGTTCCTTATACTCTTGCGTTATCTCTGCTCCGCTTGAGACTCACAACATCTGCATCTTGATAATGTTTGTCCTGGTCTTTGACACTTGTGTGGTACCTCCACGACTATAGAATCTTTGGGTTTTATTTTAGTTAAAAGAGGCACTTACAGAGGTCCATGCCAGTTAGCTTGTTGCAGTGTGAGCCGTTCCGGTTAGAGCAAGACACCATGCAGTTGCTATTCGTATTGCTGACACTCTTCGCTGTCGCACACGGCAAGAGTTATGATGGGTAGGTTTCCTCATACATTTTAGGGAATTGCGACTTAACGTTTTATGGATGTCTGCAGTTTCTATGAGAAAATACAAAATAAAATACTTCTTCAAAATTTCTTGGTAAAGTCAGGTTTGACAGCAAAGGGTATAAAACAGGGATGTCGCAGTTTAGATAAAGAGCATCAACTATATTTCCTTCTGTGACCCAACTTTTGAACTTTTTGTCGAATCAACTGCCAATAATTAAAAATGCTTTGCAGCTAAAGAGCGGATTCCAACAACGTCTTGGTTATTTTATGTCAAAGGAACAGTGCGGCAGCATCAGGTGCGAGATAATTCAATCAATCAATGGCAGGGTGGGGTGGGGTGTTTATCATTTAAAAAGTGTTTAATCTGTCGACTTGTACAGGAAATAAAGACTTTCACCTTAAGTCACGAAAATGTGGCCTGCACTCATGGCAAATTAGACATACTTCTTACGTGTGGTAATTAAGATTCTTTTTTGCGTATGTATTTTCTGAAAGAGAGCTTTTAAAGTTTGCTTCAATGATATTCTCAACATTTCCACCTTTGCAGGTATCAAGTATTTGAAATCACACCCAAATCAAGAACTCAGTTTCAACAGATGATGGATTTGGACGGGCAATTCTTTGACGACGTAAGTATATCCTATGAGTGTCTTGAAGCCTTCTTGATTAAAACTTACTACAGCGGTTTTGCTCTAGAGATGTAAAATTATGCGTAGATACATGTTGTGATTGGTTTTGCCTAATGGGCCAGCGAAACACTTGATTTGGCCCTAGGTTCAACCCGACTAATACACATAATTACAGTATAATTTAATAGTTTTATGTATACCACTACCAACATACAGCTTGATTTCTTGAAGACCAAACCCGTCGGCGAACCCAGTCAAGTGATGGTGCCTCCCATGCACGTGGACAAGCTCAAGGAAGCTTTGGAAGAGTTGCAAATTGAGTTTGGGGTATACATTGACAACCTCCAACCCCTCATTGACAAAGAGACGAAAGCTATCGCCTCACGTGAGAAGGCAACAACCTTAGCAAGTTTCGATTACAAAGTATACCACAGCGTGCAAGAGGTAGGCCCCCCCCCCTTGTAGGATCAAATTTAACTCGACTAAATGTGAACAAGCCATGTTGTCAAACTGATGTTTAATGTCAGTCAAGTCACTTCAAAATTTCTGATTTCTGCAAGAACTTTTACAGTTTTTAATGTTGTATCACATCAAGTGTTCTGCAAAGACTTCACAAATTTTACGTTGCCTTTTAATTGTAGATAATAATAGTTTTAAACAATAGACACTAGGGATAAATGAAAACGGGTTGGCGTCGTTCTACGTCTAATACACTCCGCTCCGAGCGGAACAAAAGAGGGCGTGTTTTTTGGTACTCGCCGCATAATAGACACGCCATGAGGCGTGCAAGTATAATTTGACGCGGAGCACGCTGAGTACGCGTAACTAACTTATTCCACCTTGTATGGTCTTTGCGTACACGCAGAACGCGTGCAAGAACCCGCTTGTAACCCACCTATCTTTCTTTCGCCGATTGGGGGTGCACTTCAGCTCGGGAGGATACAACACAAAGAGCATGGCTGTAAATCGGGCAGGGTAGGGTATATATACATATCCCCCTACTTTTTGAGGTGGGGGTGTTACATTTTCTGCTTAACTGCTACCTGGAACAAGTCACTCTGGTCATTTACTCCCAGCATAACACAAGGTACAGGCAGGCAAACATAGCCAAAGTACACCAGTACTCAAGTCTGAGGCTGAGTGCATGTGCGCGGGGAATCTGTTGAGTAGATTCACCAAGCACCAGAGCAAGTACTACACCAAGGGCTATATCAAGTGCCGAGTGTTATGGCAAGGTTTAATCTAAAAATAAACAAACAAAATCTTTCTGATCGATTGACAAATTGATACAAATTACACACGGTACATGTACATGTTATGCACAATGATATAAACCTTAATTTCCTAAACGTGCCGACATACTAGCATACTAGTATTACAATTCTTGCGGGTACACTTTGAATTGCCCTTTAAAACATCATGTTGAATATGCCTATATGACCGTGCATGTGGAATTTACATATCGCTGAACTACTACAATCGAACTCGATGTCTCGACAACGTTTCACAAAAAAACCTCTTAAAATTTACGACTCTGCGGGACTCTAGGAAAGTTTCACAACAGCTGCAGAAAATATAGGCCTAGTGTACATCCACTGTTACAAAGTATATAGACAAATACCCAAATTGGGAATTATTATGGGCAGTTTTCGCCTTGCAGTTTATCTGGTCAATCCAACCTCTGCAAAGGCAGTCCTTCACACACCCAAGAATTAATGAGCGATCGCAAAACGCGTACATTCTGGAACACGTTTTGTTACCTTTGACCCCTAAACTTTCGGATACGTTACCGGTGGAATGGGCTATTGACTCATTCCCAAACTTTTTTTTGTCGCGAGCAAATAATTAAAGCCGGTTTTGAAGGATTTTTCAGACTTTCAACGACCAAAATGTATTCAATATCACCCACAAAATTACAGATGTACCTCAATATCAACATCAACCTCCAATATTGAGTCATATCATGTCACCTCCGCCTCGTTTTTCAAATTTTCATGGCCAGGCAGTCATCTCTCCCGCCTTTCCTCATCCCCTATCCCCTCCAATTTCTGGCAAAAATTTACAGCACTGACAAAGAGGCACTCACCAACTATTGTCCAGTCGGCGCGTCACTGAATTGTTTCTCAATTTTTGTTTGCTTTTGTTTAGATCTCGGACTGGATGACAGACTTCAGCCAAACCGAGTCCACAAGTTCCCTTACCATCAAGGAAATCTATATAGGCCATTCATTTGAGGGACGTTCTATTAAGGCACTGAAGGTGAGACAAGTGAAGCATAATGTCTGACTGTCCATACACAGCCACTTAGAATTGTTTGCGTGGGAGACAGTGTGTTAACTTCTCTTCCTCCATTCCCATGGAAAAGGACCTGGCTTGAAAACAAGACGAGGATGAAAAAAATAAAACAGAATGAATGAATGTTTTGACCCTTGGGGCAGAGTTGTAATGACTCGAGTCAATGACTCGACTCCAGTCTGACTCGAGTCACATTTTTTGGCGTGTCGACTAGAGTCCCGACCGGTAAATGACTCTGCTCAAGTCTCTGCGATCAAATCCCGGACTCGACTCAACTCGAATCTCTAATAGAGACCAGATTACAAGCGTTTCCTCTTACAGATTTCTACAGGGAGCGGTCGGCTTGGTGCTTACACCCAAGGGGGCATAGATGCTAGAGAATGGATCTCGCCTGCCACTGTCATCTACGTCGTCCAGAAGGTCAGAAAATAATGTCCTGCATAATTTGCTATCTTATCAGCCCACCTAATATTCCCTTTTTCCATCGGCAAGATCCAACGTTGACATGATTTTTTTTCGAATCAACAATGATAATGAGGGAAGTTCCGAAGTTCCCCTACAGAGAGTGACAAACTCGATGCAAATATATGCAGTGTCCTACAAACAATGCACATTCACCAAAGCCCTAAATGCTCCTAGCATTGGGATATTTCCGATTCCATGCAGTCCCTATTAGGGACTTAAAGCAAATTCAACCCTTCTGATTTACCATGTGCACCAGTTTGTAGCAGGCTTCAAGAGTGGGTACAGCGCAGCCACCACATTTTTCAACAAGTTTGACTGGTACGTTATCCCCCTGCTCAACCCTGACGGTTACCACTACACTCGTCCAGAGTCGGTACGTCTGATTTATTTTCAATTAAACGATAACCAATGTGGCATCAGCCACAAATTTACTCTTGGCCTAGCCCTCGCCCCCCTCTTGGTCTGATATTCCTACAAAATGGTTACCTCCCGTCTCTTACAGGAAAGCACATACATTTAGTAAACAGTTACTGAAGAAAATAATTCACGCGCACAATTAAAAGACATAAAAGTTTGCGTCACACCTTCCAGTTCAAAATGACAACACTTAGGCACTCTTTTATGGGTCTTGTAAGTGGAAACTAAGTAAAAACTAACGCATTGCACGAAGCTGCATTAGAAACACTGTGAGAAATTTTTTCCCACTCTCACTTCTGAGGTAAAATTTCCAAGTTCTACGTCGGAGAAACATGTATAAGTCGTACGTACGACTATTCTCGTGTATATATAAGCGAAATTGAAATTTTATCTAAAGGCAGAGAGATTAATCAATTTTGGTTTTCAATATGTTCCTAATCAGTACTATAGAAATGCACGGACTTAACAAAAAGACAAATAAAGCACACGGGCACTCACAGGTGGACCTAAGTTCATGAAATGTAGGATGGTTTTTCTCGTCTCTTCTTTATCTCTTGATAATCACTCCCAAAATCTGGAAAACGTTCCAGTTCCACTGACAAAATATACATAGAACACTCGCCGAACACAACGTATCTACCGCTGCTTTAGAATCTTGTAACTCTCGGCGTTAACAGTAATCCCCAGTTGCACAGAATTTCAGATAACCTGTAGTAATTAGCCCTAGATATGTTGATTTTGCAGGCTGCCTCAAGCAATATGGTTTAAGACAACCTAGACTACACAGTTTAAATTGTCTTTTGATATTTTCGGGCTTTTGAAAGAAATTAGTACGAATGCTTATAGTGACCGTCGGTGTTTTCACGTTTCCAAGATAAATTATCACAAAAATTTTGTATAGGGACATATTTCAGGTTTGTATGATCGGGGAAGACATCTTTCTTAGATATGATATCACGGGAAAGATGTCTTTCTCAAAAGCAATACAACGAAGAGACGTCTTTCCAAGATATAACACCGAGGACGGGCGTCTTTCTGGGGTATGACATCATCAGGTATTAAGACGTCTTTCTGAGATATGACATACATGTACATGTAAGTGAAATACGTCAAAAAGATCTCCCTATGCCGTCTTGGAAACATGGAAACTCGGATGTTCACTTTAAGCTTCCTCTAATTATAAATCTTGAAGGCATCCTAATTTACCTCTGAATGAACAACCTAAGTACTAAGTAGTAGTACATTTAAAGAAATACTTGAAATACCTTTTCTTACAGTCACCCAACGATCGTATGTGGAGTAAGAATCGTCAACTCACCTCCTCTACCTACTGTAAAGGAATCAACTTGAACAGAAACTATGGCTACCAATGGGGTAATCTTACTTTCTGATTGAAAAAGAGACCGAACCGTCAGTGATGAACAAATCCAAGAGAACTATTTTGGGCGAATGAGTTTAGTCAAAATGTATTAACCTTGCTTTTTTTTTTTTACAAACGCTGACCCCGTTTTGTGTGGGTGGAAAAGATTTTTACAAATTCAACCCATAGATTTTCCCTACACATGCACATCTGGCCCAGGAGACTTATAGGGAAAGCGGTATTTCCATTTCGGCCTAGTTATAGATATGTATAATTTTAATACATTTTAATACAATATTGAGTTATTCCTGCAGTTGCATTCAAAGATCGCAAGTCAGTTAATTCTGCGACTGAACAGAACATTCCGATTTTCCTACTAAACTTATACAGTTACAAAATACTGGTTAATAAATTTGCGGCGGGTGTATGTCTCTAGACCAAAATTTTGATAAAAGTAACAATTTGAGCAAAGAATTTAAACATTCTCTGAAAAGGGTGTTCCTTCGGGGGTCGGGGAGTGTGGATTTCAAGCCTTTTGTGGGGATTCTTTGGCTCCGTCTGTCCACATAGACAATGGGTTGCGCCGAGTTGCCAGTTAAATCAGGAGGTGTGGCTGTACAGGACGATTCTGGAGTGACAGTCTCTGGAGCAGCTGCTGCACACGAACGTCTGTTGCCTTTGGATAGTCTCTGCTGAGGCTTTCCTCTTCTTCCTACGATCTGACCGCGGGCAAGCATGTTTCCCTTCAGCTGTGGAGATGCACAGCCTGTCGCCAGGCTGTGCGGTCTGCTGCCATGGTTTCCCAAGCATCCACATTGATGTCCGCAGACATGAGGTCTTGATGGCAGGCATCGCTGAGGCGCAGCTGAGGACGCCCTGTGCGTAGAAATCCTGTGGCCAGCTTACCATACAGAATGTCCTTTGGTATGCAGCCATCGTCCATACGCTGTACGTGGCCAAGCAAGCGACGCCGTCTCTGTGAAAGGGGGCGTACATGCTCCATAAGCCTGCCTGGTCCAGCATGACTGTGTTAGGTACGCGACCCCTCCAGGAGATGCCTGGGATCCGACGCAGGCATCTGAGATGGAAAGTGTTAAGGCAGTTTTCTTGATGAGTGTAAGTAGCCCAGCTCTTACTGCGGTAGAGGAGGGTACTCAGCACATAAGCTCTGTAAACCACCATTTTAGTAGCTGTGGTGAGCTTGCTGTTTTCCCAGACTCTCTTGGCTAACTTTGCCGCAGCAGCAGCAGCTTCCCAATACGTCTGTTGAGTCTGGGTCTAGGGACAGGTTGTTAGAGACCGTCGGACCTAAATAGGTGAACTCATCAACCGCGTGCAGTCTGTGGTCACCAGTGGTGATATGTGGGACTTCACGGACGTCCTGGCACATGATCTATGTCTTCTTTACGCTAATGGAGAGGCCAAACTCCTGGCAGGTACGTGTCATGGACCTGACAGCAGGCCTGTCTGGGTATGTTACATCAAGGTGGCATCATCAGCAAACAGGATCTCTCTGATCAAGACCTGTCTATCGAACTTTGGTCTTTGCTGTCAGGCGAGCGAGGTTAAAAAAGCTTGCCGTCAGAGCGCATGTGGAGGTAGATCGTCAGAGATTCTGAAAGCCAGAGACAGGACCAGGGAGAGGATCCCCATAAGTGTTGGGGCTAGAACACATTCCTGCTTGACACCATTCCTGATGGGGAAAGGCTGTGTAGGGGAGCCATCGAACTGCACTGTCCCCTGTATGCCGTCGTGGAAGGAAAGGATGATGTTCAGCAGCTCTGCTGGGCAACCATCGAGCAGTGCGAAAGGCCTCTTCTACTGCCAGGTCAAACGCCTTGGTTAAGTCGATTAAGGCGATGTAAAGAGGATGCCTTTGTTCTCAGCTCTTCTCTTGCAGTTGTTTGATGGAGAAGATCATGTCGATCGTAGATCTCTTGGCCCTGAAGCTGCACTGGGACTTGCAGCAGAATCGCTCTGCTTGCGAATGCAGCCAAATCAGAACAACACGTGCCAACGTTTTTCCAGCAACTCAGAGGAGGGATATGCCTCTGTAGTTGTTACAGTCGCTAGACCCCTTTTGTTGTGATACAATGTGATGATGGCAGAGAAGCTTGTGCAAGTGGGTGAGAATTGTTTGCACACTGCAGCACCTCAGCTGGGATGCCAACTGAACCTAAAGCCTTGTCGTGGGCCAGCGACTTGATAGCCTTGCTGAGTGGAAAGACGTCATTCTCCCTGGCGTACAGGTCCTGGATAGTGTTCAACCCACCTCTCCATCTGTTTGGCTGGGTCTTTAATGACTGCACCTTTCTTAAATTTGAGGGGGGCAATTCTGCGTACTGAGGGGCCGAATGCCTTCTTCGATCCCTGAAACATGCCTTGCACGTTGCCACCGGCGCCGCAGATCTGAATTTCCTAAGGCAGGGCCTGCCAGTACTCGTTTACAAAGCGTCTGGCGGTCTTCTGAGCTGCACTTCTTGCGGAACGCAGGGTTGCTGGGTTCTTCTCTGATCATGGGTCACACTTGTCGTTAGTCAGAGCGACCTTTTGGTTGTGATGACAGGTTCCATCTCAGCTTGATGTTCTTCGAACCAGTCTTGGCCTCTCTTCGCTTTCTTCCCGAGTGTTGCCATAGCTACAGTGTAGACAGTGTCACGTAAGTGGCTCCAATTTTCCTGCACTGATGAGATGAGCTGACTGAGCCTGTTTGATTTGTGCATTGAGTTCAGAACAGAGCTTTGGGTGGGTTGCGCTAGAGATGTTGACAGGGGCGACCTGATCGCTCAGTTTGAAAGATCTTTTATGACAACAGCCGGACTCTGCTGCTCACAAGAGAGTGATCCGTGTTGCAATTGGCAATGCAACTGTTCAAAAATGTTGAAAGCAGCTCGTCTGGTAATGGCCATGTCAATCTGGCGCCAATGTTTAGATCTTGGATGCAGCCAGGAGACTTTATTATGTGGTTTCAGCTCAAAGAACGAGTTGGTAATGCACATCTTGTGGTAAGAGCAGAGCTCGAGCAGAGCTCAAGCAGACACTAGCCGTTAATTGGCGTTCTTATTTCCGATTCCAAAGTGACCGAGGCAGTCTATGAGGAGTGATTTGATCCCACTGTAGCATTAAAGTCACCCAGTTTGAATGTGCTCGAACTGTATCTTGTCGATGACCGCATCAAGGTCCTCATAGAACTGGTGGGTTTCTTGAGGAGAGGACTGTGTTGAAGCATAGACGCTCACGAAGTTCACTTGGCCGATAGATGTTGCGAGGCAGAGGAAGAGGATGCGTTTCGATTTACCTGTAGAGGGAGTACTACCATATGGCAGTAACAGCAAAGCAAACACCGTGTAGACGGGCTTCATCGGAGGACTTGCCTTGCCAGAAGCAGGTGTAGTTTTCGAACAGCATGCCATCTGCAGCAAGCCTGGTCTTCTGCGAAGCTGCTATATCACTTTCCAATCTTTTCAGCTCAGAGTTGATGCTGTTATTGATCTGCTGTAGGTCGTCCGAGAGGCCAGGACACATGATCATTACATTCCATGTGGCCAGTTGCATGCTTGGTGTTTTTTGTTGTTGTTTTTTTGTTTTTTTCCTTTCCTTAACGTTACATTTTTGGTCTGGTGCAATGGTGACTATTTGCTTTTCGAACAAATCTAAGCTCCAAGCACAATGAGGAGCAGGCAGACAGCGGCGGAACAGCACCCGCTGCTCGGGGGCTGCCCGGATTGAGACGGGCGGCCGTTCAGTGAGGTGCGATGATCTCTCCCACCGTTGGAGCCTACCCGTAGCGTCCGTGTCTCATGCCAGTTGGACTAGGACGTGTTATTTCTTCTACTTTGCAGCAGCACCGAAAGTGACCTCCCCGGGAGCAAAAACTTCGGCGTTGAGTATGGAGATCATGGTCTGCCCAAACGTCAAGATCGCTCACTCGGCCTTAAAGGAGAGCAGAACAATACATTTGGCACCTGCTTGACTTCAGGGGTGCCGGAAGAGGGCGTTCACGTCGTCCTTCCGCCTCAGGGGCTACACTCCGAATTCTGTCAGGATTACTCCTAGCCTTTTCCTTCCCCTAGGTGCCCATAAGGCAGTGAGGCTAAATCAGCCATAGCAAGGGGGTTTGAGGTCAGTATTTTCTTCACCTAGATGGGCTACCTTCCGAGGTTAACAAGCCCTATCTGCCCGAAGAAGATGTGATGATACAGGCTCGTAATGGTCCCTATAATTGTCCCAGTGGAAAAATGAAAACATAAAAGGGGTCGGATTTTCTAGAATGAGAAGCAGCGACACACTGTTTAAGGAAAGAAACATTGAGATATCAGAGCTCTTGTGTAAAGCTCAGAGCTGTTCAAGGCAATCATTTGCTAACAAATTCAGCCATCTGACGTTAAATTTGCAAGCATAGATTTTTCTGAAAGCCATTTAAAAGAATCTCCATGTTGGGAAGGACTCCCTGCCGGTGTTTAGAATGTTATTATTGATATTAACAAGAACTGTGTTCACTTTATCCAAGCTGGGAGTGGTTCCTCCAGCAACCCCTGCAGTGAAGTTTATTTTGGAGATTACCCATATAGTTCATACGAAATCAAGTCGGTCAAGAATTGGCTGCTCAACCTGAAGAAAAGTCAGACCTTTATGATCCACGTGGATGTCCACAGCTACGGCCAGTATTGGGTCTATCCTTACAGCTATATTAACAGTCAATATGCCAAGACCGAGGATCATGATGACCTGGTGAGTATATCAGGGTACTGGGTGGGATGGCATGACCAGAGTGGTTCAATGGTGTGTGGATTGAGTATAACCAATAAGTGCTTGGCAGACTGTCTCAAAATTAGAAACAAAGATCCACATAATAATCAATTCACTATCCACACATGTACTGATTTCTGTGATAGTGGATGGAGTTTAGGTAATACCTACTTTTACGATCCTGACCTGCTACTTTCTCACGAAGGTGATAGAGGTACACCTCTTTATGCATTTACATGTACTTGCAGCAAACTTTCGGGAGACGGGATTCTGATTTTTTTTCTGGTCAAATCAATTTGCACTTTCATTTAATTACAGGCTGATTATAATTCATTTGCTTATCCGTAAAACTTTATCTTTAGTGGTGCTTAGACCAACACAGAACAGCCTCACTCTGACCAAACCTTTGAAGTCTTTTGTAGACCGACATGAGTGATTCAAATAACAGCGGACTTGCAATGTTTTTTCTACTGCTCGTGCTTCACTTCACAGGAACGGGTGGCCAAGGCTGCGACACAGGCACTGACAGCAGTGTTTGGCACAAAATACAAAACAATGACATCTGGAGACTTGTGTAAGTATATGTGCTTCCCAAAATTAGGGATAAATGCATCTTGAATTTTTGCCCTTATGTTAGTTTGATTCATCACATGATGAAATGCAAAGAATAAGTACAAAGTTTGGGAAGGACTAAAGCTATCATTGCCTATCATTCCACAAACAATCTCCATCTGAATTGGTTTTTTTAAAGCAAAGTTTGAACCAAAAACACTGAATGTAGAATTACAGTGAAAAAGAACAAAGTGTAACTGGTGGAAAACTGCGAGATGCGACAGTTTTAACTCATGAAGATGGGTTTGCGGCCTAACTCTGTTTGACACTAGTTCATTAACTAGGTCTTTCTCCCGAAAGGAAGACACAATTTTTATTTTTCTTTAAAAATGTTAAAAATGCAAGTCTTATTTTGAGGGCAAGGCCATTTTTAACTGATACTCATAGTCAGATTTTAGTTTAATACAATGTGGTCATAAACACCCTGGCATCAAGATAAGACTCCCTCAGTTTGAAATTAACTCTAATTCACCCAAATCCTTCAAAATCCACCAGGATATGAGGATTTTGAGGGATTGAGGAAGGTAGAGACAAGCCACTACTTTCTGTCACAGGACTCGATGCAACTTGAAAATTAAAACCACACAAATGTGTGGTAGTGGAGGATTGTGAAGAATTAAGGGAAAGTGCTGATCAAATAGCTCGGGCGCTTAGCTAGGAGAATCAACTTTGTATCCCCAAAATTTGTGTTTGACAGACCCGGCAGGTGGGGTGAGTGAGGACTTTGGTTACAAGATCCTGAAAGCTAAGTACTCTTACGCTGTGAAATTGCGGGACACAGGACATTATGGGTATGAGCTGCCTGAGAACCAGATTAGACCTTGTGGAGACGAAACCTACTCTGGGTTCAGAGAAATGTTCCTAGAAGTCCTGAAGGAGGTTTAAGACATAGAGGGGTCGCTACAGGAACTGACGGAAAACAAAGGATTATTACAAATAATAATCTAGAAAAGCATTATTAAATAAAAAAGTAAATGATACAGATTGAAAGCCACACTACTGTCATAATAATGGTAACATAAATAATTGACAGTCACAAAGAAAAATATCAAACCTTTAAATAAACTCTTTTGGTAAATAATTGTGAAGGTATCTTCTGAAACAGTCTCCATTTGAATCAAAAAGAAAGATAGAAACTTAGAAAAGATTCTCAAAACAAAATAAGGGAACGTGGAAACAATTGTCTTAGGGGTTTACAGAATGGTTATGGGTATTATGGGTGAATTTTCCCCTCACCAGAAGAAGCCTAGAAGCCCTCTGACAAAAACTCAATGCTGACATTTAGACTTGGACCGCGCAAGCCGATGTAGCAAGCCATTTTATTTTTAAAAGGAGGCCTTGTTGTATTTTTCTTCCAAACTTACCTTTAAGACGTCCGCAAACTTTTAAATGAAAACTGTTAATATAAGGACACATACTCAAGACAGGTAATATGTTCACGGTACATGTAATTCATTGTGAAAGTGTTTTGCGTTTATAAAACAGGGCACAAGAACTCACAGGGTGACATGATGCCTCCATTCTTCTCGGCAAATTTATTAAAAAATGACGAAAAAATAACGTTTTCCCTCGGACAGTATACCACTAACTTTATTCACTTTTTACTGCATACAACAAAAACAAACAGAATTCACTTTTCTGATTTTAATTATTTTAAACAATGTCACCTTGCATATTTAAGTTTGGAATCAAATGAAACTGAATTCACTGAAGATATTATTGTAGGCCACAGTGTCGGTTATTGAATGACACGTTTACTCAACTGCAGTGATGTTAAATGAATGTCGATCTGAGCTTAACAATAAACAGAATAACATTGTATGGGCACTTTGGGCAGCATAAGCTTTTCGTTTGGTTGGTATATTCAATTTGCGTCATCAGAAGGGGGGAATGGGGGCTGTGTGCAAGAAAAGGAGCCTTTTTTGTAACAAGAGAAAGGTGGAATTTCAGGCTTTTCATGGTGAAAGAAGCAATGGGTGGAAAGGCTTGCAGTAGCACCATGCGAAGGAATATATCTCTCTTAAGAGTATGTGTGGTTCTGAAAAGAACCGGGAGTATGCTCAACGTTTCGGACTGCGTGCTCAGTCTGTCGTCAGGAGAGAAAGGTGATTTTTTTAATCCATTTAAATTCCCTTCCTTCAAAGGCATGTAAAAAGCACCTTAAAATATAGCCTGCCCATATGAAAAGCAATAAGAGGCTACACGAAATGATTACCAAACTTTTGGGATTTTGGATATACCCTAGTTTGTGCTCTATAGAACATCTACACTTCCAAACACAACATGCCACAGAGTTCCTTTTGCGACACATGCCAGAACTGACTTGTGTCCAGACCTCAAAAAAGAGAGTATGTATGTTTTGCTACAATCACTGAAAGAAACTTGAGGGATGGGGATTTGGGGGGCATTTGGGGGGGGGGCCTGACAGCATTAGACACTATAATATTCATGATACATGCACATCTGTATTATGTACATGCATTACATTCATGCAGAATATTACAGAATGTAAGTTAAGTCTTCACAATCCCCTTAATTTTTTCTCACCACAAAAGGGGCGGGGGGAATAGATGGTTCAATGCCCGCCTCAATATATATCCCCACCCACCCCCACCTGCTGAGATTTATGCCCACAGCTACAATATACAGGTTTCCTTATACACAAAAATGGGAAAATGTTCCATAGTGAGGTATCCACCCTAAGCAGAAGGCCTCCTTGTTAACCTCTCTTGTGGAAAATTCAGGAGGAGTGTCTGTCAAGTACCAAATACCCCCCTCATCAGTTGAAAAATGGCCATGTTGGTGGGTAATGTTCATTTTGTTGGTAGTGATGTGATCGTAGTATATGTTTCCTGGTCGTTGATGAATGAAGTTCAGTTCCAACCAAAGGAGCCTCTGTCGCTAAGAAAATTTCCCAAACTACGCGTCAAGCACGGGGCTCATACCAGAAGTGACAAGAATAGATTCGAATAATCCAGCTGAAAATTGGAGACTAGTGTGAAAATTGCAGGCCCTACACTGGAGTCTGGGCTAAGGTCAAGTGAAGACTTGAGCCTTTCCCAGTTAGAGACTAACAGGTCTTCAAGTCTACTTTTTGGACTGTTCTCTGGGATTTGTTCAAATGATTTAGTTTGAATGAAAAAATAGCTGTGGGCAGAAGCACAGCCTGAGGGTTTTGGTAGTGGAGTCTAGGTGAAGATCAAGGAAATTTCGATAAAAATTATTATGCTGTAAAATCGGGGTGATTAATGGATCATACAGAGTTATAATGATTAGAGTCAATGGCATGAGTCAAAATCTGACAGAAGTCAGAATTCTTGGTGACTTGACTAGAGTCCTGACAGGTAGATGACTCAATTTGAGTCAGTGCAAGCAAATAACTTGATTCAAGTCTCTCATCAGAAGACCCGACTTGAGTGACAGTTTGAGACTTGCGTCCCACATATTAAAGCAAATTTCCTTACGAAAAAATATTTGCAATGACTTACAGCACTGGTTTATAAAGTTCGTGTCATGTGTTGTCATTAAGAGTACGAGGAAGTGTGACCACATGTAGAACACAGAGGTTAATTACAAAATGCTAAAAATGACCTTCTGTCTTGTTATTTATCATACTGTGTTCAAATTTTTATGATCAAATTGGCCCAAGCTAAATACTTGACTTGTCTCAACTCACAGTTTTTACCAAATGACTTGACTTGGCTGGAATCACAAAAAAAACTCCTTACAACTCTGGGATCATAAATGAAAAATCAGGATACTGAAAATAGATCATTTTGTAATTTAATCTAAACAGGATTTTTATTTTGCCAAGGGTAAACTTGATTAAACTTTCACTCAGTTTCCCTCTGCACACCAAAGGGTTGATGAAGATGGTTGGCACCATATCAAAGAATAACCATTTCAGTGGCCATTTCATATTCAGTTTTGCACGTCACACCTTCTAACTAAAGAGTCTTAAAATTGAATCACATAAATGTTGTCAATTCTTCGACAAATTATGAAATTAATGCATAAAATGAAAAAGAATATATTATTGTTTTTAAAAATAAACGGAAAACCCTCAGCCTACCTCCAAGGCTGAAGTGTCGAACTGCCCCAAGCTCCCACATCTGCTTTAGCAAAGATCAAAAACTACATCCAGAACATCTGCAACAAGTTATCTTTCATTGCATGTATGAATGGCTTAAGGTCCATGTTTGTATAAATCCCAAAGAATGAACTCAACAAAACATACAAATACACGATTTGAAGGGGCAATTACAAAGTAGTTTATGCCTGGGATAGACAACATGTTGGGGATGATAAATGAGAACAAAAAGGTCTGATGATGTTTACGAGGGTTGAAGATTTTAGCACAACATTCAGGCATCATCTAAATCTAGAACTATGAACAACCAATTACAAGTCAAGAAACTTTGATTTGTACAGGGAAAGCAAAAGTGCAGTGAGCAGCAGGGTTATATCAGTTTGCTAATCTCACTCTTATAATTTTCCATTCTGAGCATTCTCCAGCTCAACCTATGAAAACTTCAAGTCCGGCCAAATAGAGATAAGTTTTTAATAATGAGGGTGATAATGGACAACATTCCAATCCTCCCCCCCCTGAAAAGAATAAAGTGCAAAGGCAAAGTGCTTGACTTAAAATACCCTGTTCAATTACCTGCCTTCCATCTACGGAGGTTGCTTGAAGTTAACCCCTTGTACTTGAAGAGATTTCCCTGACGTGGCAGAGGCAGGTAAACTGGACAGCTGAAACTTAAATCACATAAGAGAAAAAAATGGATTTTAGGCAAATTGTCCTGTGGTTGAAGGTGTATGGAGGTTAAGCAGGAAAATTTGAGTTGGTGGCAAATTTAAGAAATAAGGATATTATCTCCCTACAGCAGATTAACATACTGCCAGCTACTGCACAAGTACAATTGGTCCTTTACAGTTTTTCTGAACAGAGCCTGGTCCAATACTCTCGCCATCACTGGGGGCCTTCATCTGCTGAACGTACAAAACTGGATTTGTTTTAGTTAAAAATAGACTCTAAAGCGCCACGATGTTACCAACCATAAAGGCTGTTACGTGTGCTTTTTCAAAGGATGTTGTTTTTTTCCTATTCATACCTTTGGAGTACTGGAGACTGAACTCATGTAACCCAGACACATTGTCTCTGTAGTGTGTGCCCACACTAGTTCCACTCCCTCGTCATGGTGATGGCTCAATACAAGGGCGCCCCCAAGTTTTTCGTCAACTGACGCCAGAAAGGGCGATTCTAAAGGAGTACCAAATAGAAAACTCATTCTCTTGTAACATAAAACTGTGCGGCACTTCTTATCACTGTATGCCCTTCCCTCATTTCTGATCTGTTTTGACAAACAAACGTCAATTAACTACAGCACACTCAAAAAAAAAAAGCCAAAATAGTTCGCACTAGAAGTTAGCGTTCTAGTAATTTGGCATAGCTCTGGGTGTAAACACACACATTTACGAAGGTACTGTTGAAATGTGCTTAGTTAAACAAGTTACAAGCCAAAACTGCCATGTGGCACATCCTGCCAATAAATGGTTTCATACAGGTGTAAATAAAACAAATTTTTAGAAATCTGGTTATTTTTTAACCTCCTGCTGGCTCACTCCTAGCTACATATACTCAGTTTTTACTGACTCTATTCCCAATGAAGCTAGTTGGGCGACACTGACTTACCTATGAATCCTTCCCTGAAGGTCCTCTGCACAGCCATGGCGGAGCAATCGCCCGAGCCTAGCACACTTCTGCAGCACTCCTTGGCTAGCAAGGTTTTCATGAGGTGCTCCCCACAGCCCGACGTAGAACAGGCCACGGATGGCCGGTCATCTTTGGTCCCATTCTGGGCCCAGCAACCACACCCATACATTGATGCCTGAACAAAATCGGAAATACGGTGTCCCCTTAGTTTCATGTACTATGACTTTTCCCAAACTTAATTCAAGAAATGCTGCTTAACGTCTTTGCTGATGGGATCTTTTTTTTTACCCTAGTATAAAGCAAAACACAGTGAAAATAAACTCACATGAAAAATAAAAGTCAAGAATAATGGTTCCTTGTGCTCTTGAATTTAATTGGGACATCGTGCCAATTGTCAACAAACATTAAATTCCGGATTAATAGCGCTATGTGAAATTCACCAGAACTTTGCACTCTGTGTAGCTTTGGCTGAAGCTCCATCACCAACTTGATCGCAGAAAAAAAATTGAAATGCGCCATGTTGGAGGACACACCACTTCAGAAGTTCTCAAAATTAAACATGGACACAGGCAACACCCTCAAAATTAGAGAGAGTGTACTTGTTACCATGCACTGTGCCTATTCTATATTCCCATTGAGTCCAGTAGTTTTATCCCTTAAGCACAGGAAAAAGATGAGATGAGTTCTGACATTTACAAATGATGCAACCTTTTTATAAGTCACCAACATTGGGGATGAGTTTGGAATACCGGCATGGGAGTTGACAAAAAGAGGCAAAGATCTGGCCAGGAGAAGGGGGAAAAAAGAAGCAAACTGAAAACCTATCAACAGCACAACGTGGTTGATTCTGAGGCCCTTTCAAGCAAATTGGTGGTTTTTAACCCCTTTCCTGATGTCTTTTTCATTTCCTGTCCCTTTTCTATTGTTTTGTTGTTTTGTTTTCTCCAGTAGCCAGCATTCCCACCCACACCCATGCACCATGCCTTCCCCATGAAAACTTGCACAGGCATGCAACTTGGACAAAAAAATGAGGACACTTTCAATCCGTACAAGACTTTGTACAGTTTTTTTCAATTTTCAATGGCATGAATGTGATGAGAAAAATGAGGAAATCAGCTGAATTGAGGAAAAGTTGCCTGCCTCTTGCATTGGTGTCATCTCTCACCTGACCAACTCTGCCCGGGTGTTTGAGGGCGATACCCCCACTAGACACAGCACTGCTAACGTTGCCGCTTGCATCCACACACACCGCGCCCACAGTATCTAACAAGGAATCTATGCAACTAACACCATCGGATGGCAAACTGTCAACAACCAGGCAGGGAGGTTGGATCTTGAGGAGAAACAGACAGCAAATATGTGATTCAAGCAGGGTCAGACTAAATGTTCTGTAAGCCTTGGGCTTCAGTGCTCCGTAAGCCCACTCAGGGTATCTGTACTGAAGCCACTAAACTGAAGGTGCTGGTGAGTGCTTGAGCCTAACATTTCACAGTGTTTCTAAAGTGTACAAAGTTGTTTGAGGGTTTCTTAAGATTCAGATTTTAGAGAGAAGAAAAGATGCCACAACTGTGAAACTCTTCTTGGTGTGAGCACTTGTTAATGATACGTTGTATCATGGTATTTTTGTAGGCCCGGATTTTTTAGCAAGCTGAATACACAAACCCTACTGTCCCTATTGGATTATTCGGCCCTACATTTAAGTCCCATATACATGTAATGGCTTGTGACTTTGTTAGTGTCTTACATTGACAAAATAAGAGCAAGTCACTCTAACGCTTTTGTGGTTCCAATCATTTAACAGATAGCATTATGGTAATAAGCCTTTTGAGAGTTAAATTTGAATAAAATCTTGTACATTGAGTTCTTTAAATTCACATGAACACAACAATTTGAATTACTCCATACTAAAGATACTGTTGCTATACGTACCACACGTTTCCTTAGTTATATAGAGATGCCTAGCATCAATACACTGTTTTCTATGGATAAGAAAGGTACAAAAGAACCAGTCCATTCCAAATATGGTGGTCACTTTGCAAAAGCTTGCCCGGAATCACCGAGTATAGCAAAAGTGTATTTAGTCTGGGGAATTCAAATTATGTTTATTTGCAATCAGATAACTAAGTGTACCAGACTTTATTCAAATTTAACTTGCGAAAGGCTTTTCAAAACACTAAAAACTGACTTCAGGAGAGAATAATTTAAAAGTATTTGCTATGCTCTTTTCATCCGATGAGAAACTAGCTTAACTCAGAAGAATCCCGATTCCAAGCAAAGGCATGCAATGAGCATTTACATGGTTGTCACTCGTGTCACGTTTCTTTGAAGAGTTCTGGTCCACCGCCGACAATCTCCTCTTATGTTTGCGGTAGGCAGAGAGGGTGCTCTTTGTCAGCAGTGAGCTGGTTGTCGTCTCCTGAATGCCGTAGTTCCGTGCCCACTGCAGTGCCCCATTACCTACCAAAACACTAGGGGAAGATAAATGTGCAGCACAATTTGAAAGAATCAGGCATTTAAGGCTGACACATGAAAATTCATGCATATTAAGGAATGTAAAATATATTTTTTAAAGTGCCATTACCAATACTCTTGTGCATGAGATTACGATTATTAAGAAAAACTTGGTGTAAAACTATTGACATGTTTCCTTTAGTAGTGTTAGGTCTAACAGTGGACATTTTCTTATGAACAGCAAAAAGGTGGCATTCTTTTACCAAGGTGGAATTCTGCCACAAGACAATGGTCCCTTCATCTGTTCCTGAATGAGTGCTCTGCACACTTTAATAGGATTCTGCACACCTGGACATATCAAAAGAGAGGAAAAATCAAGTGAAATGCTATAACGATGCCACCCAATCAGGTGCAGCCCACGTTGACTGGATGTGTTTCAACCTAGGCTAGATTGACAAGTTTATACATTCAGTTTATTCACTGATTTTCACAGAAAGTTAACTGAAGTAGAAAACACAGTTGTTACCAGCACAACACAAAGACTGCTTTACTGACTTGTTCTGCCAGCTAATTTTCCGTTGAGATCTTTATAAGCTAAGCACAAAGGAAATTATCGCTGCTGATACAAGTTGCCAATAACAATTATGTAGAAGTAGATGAATTGCACAGTAAAGGAAAAAAATCTAAATTTTGGTTTGGGAAACAAGGAGTTGAGGGCCTGAAATCTTCAGGAATGTCACAGAAGTTTTAAAACTTAAAATGTTTTGAATACATGGCACAGCAAAATATTTACTTTGAAATAGGGCAACACCACTTCACATTACGCTGTGTACATATTTATGCATTGTTTTACATTTTTCAAACAGAGTCCCTAGTGTCGACTAGATGATGGTGTCAAGATTATTTTAAACGAAACCAGACAAGATATTCCAAAAATGCTGCGAAACATGACTTGCCAGATAATGCTCCTACAGCACCATACTGCAGACTTCTCCCATCCATGATGCTAGCATCGCATTCCACATTCCCGCACAGATTAAGGTTGGATCCAATACCTGCATTGGTGAATGGACTATCCTGAAACAGGTGCCAATCAATTATGCAAATTAGGGAGTCACAGACAGAGTACTTCTTTTAAACAAACTTCAAAATCAACCATTACACAAAGTCAATGAAACACAATGTACTAGGCCAAACATGTCAGTGAATGTCAGTATACATACATGTGTACCATGACTGATACTGTCTTATAGGAAAGATTTCTGTTGGCAGACAAATTTAAACCAAGTTGTGGGGCTTTTAAATGTTCTCATAAATGCTCTGGTCCCCAAAACAACTACAGTTTAACTCATACATGGTGCCCACAAGTATTGAACAGGCTGGTGCGTAATGCTTGTCTAAGAATGCATGAGCCAAACAACAGGCTCACTCTTGTTCTAGAAACAACGCAAACCAGGTAACAGTGCAATTACAGTAGTCACTGGAATGAACAAACTTTGTTAACTCATGTGCCTTTCAGACAGCAATGAGCATCAAGAGCAGAGTGAAAACTTGGGCAATCAAGCCTTGCCATTTCAACCGTACAATATCAGAGTCAAGCTCACCTCTAGGATGGCAACAGCTGCAGAAACCACATCCAGGGCACAACATCTGTCATGTATCATTTTCATGGCCTGCAGAAAGCATCACACAAATGTTGATGAATAAAATGGTTAGCTGAGAGAGCTAGATGACAATGCACAAACATGTATCGGACAGCCTACATGTAGATTACAAAAATAAAAATAATGCAGTGTACAAAACAAAATGATATTTACTGACTACAAAAAACTGTGAGAAACAGAAACAAAAATACAACTGAGTGAGCCACCTGTTTGCAAGCTTGCTGACACACTGCTTTGTACTCTTTCAAATTGAGGCTAGAATGATAACCAGCTCCTGAAAGAAAAACATGAGGGATTTCATTTCAGATTCATGGATTTATTGACTGAAAAAGGTTGCTTACAATGCATACTAGACATGCTGGAACTACAGGCATGTGGGCCCTATTTACCCAGCACAATGTGGGTCTTGGCTATCCTTGAAAGATCCTTGCTGTGCTGTAGTATCCAGCCATATTCATGTCGTCATCTGGCGCGCTCATGGGAGCACAGCGGATGACGAACCCCACAATTCTGGGGGTGTAATACATGTACGCACTCTAGCAAAACTGGAAATGAATGGCTGTACGTAGGGGAGTGCAAAAAATATACCGGATTATAACAAATTAATATTGCCTCGCCAAGTGCCTTCCTGTAAGGTTACAAAATATCACAAAAATATGTACAAGGGATGATGTAAACCAACAGGGCCGAGGAAGGGTTCTGGTTATCACGTGTGGAAGAAAAAAGGTACTAGAATGATCAACGAACATTCCAACTGCTGAATTTAATAACAAGTTACTAGTGATGGCAGACAAGTTCAACCTTTTAAATAAGTCAAAGACCAAATGATTTTGTCAGATTAGGGCTGCGCATTAAGGGGTCCCATTCGATCATGGAGGAAGGACATCCGATTAATCCAAATCTGAAATCAGATTGAACCACGTTGAATCCGATCAGAGGTCAGATATGGATCAGAAGCAGATTGAAAGGAAATGGCACATATTAAAAAGTAAGCTTAAAGGGTACCGGTCAACTCAGTCCATAACCAACTCGGTCCGAGTCAACTCGGTCCCAAGTTCACTCGGTCCCAAGTCAACTCAGTCCCAGGTTAGCTCGGTCCCAATTCAACTCGGTCCCAAGTTATCTCAGTCCCAAGTCAACGTCGGAGATCATTAATTACATGTTGACCATAAAGCGTATTGACCCTAACTATGCTGAACCCAACAAGGTTATGCAGGATTTCAATGGTCCCTAGGGGTTAGGGTTAAACAGTCACACTGTCATCATGGTCATTATTACTACTAACAACCGGACGGTGTCTGTTTCCTTGCTCTATGATCTCTGAGCAGTCTTTATCTGCTCTTAACTGTGGACAACTGTTTGTAGAGGCAGAATGCAACCGTTGCAAGAAACAGATTTAGCAATTTAAACTTTTCATGCAGCAGTCCAACATCAGACGCCGCCAGTGCAAGTCATCCGTCATGGCAGTGGTCAGCACGGTGAGCGGATCTTAGTCCGACTCCTACTGACACGACTGGCTGGAGGAAGGAACTTATCGGCGTCATGCAAATTGCAGTTCATGGTCTTACCCAGATGCACAGCTATGAATCCAGATTTAACATTTTGACCTTCCATCCTTCATTCTAATGCAGAACGCTTGCTTAGTGTAAGCAAATTCGGTATTATTTTATGGGCAACCGTCGATTATCCATCAAGTCCATGGGAGATGCAGTAAAGGGAGACTGATATCCTTCCTCGGAGATTATATTTTATCAAGCTGTTGTGTCTGGGTACAAGTCTTACCTAGTACCCAAGATCAATTGAGCGTATTTGCTATGACTTATAAAGTGTGGGATCAGATGTTGCAGTTGTTTTGCCTGTGCTGTTATCGATCATTTTGTTCAGGCCTACGTTATTTGTTCGCAAAGGAGTTCAAGTCAGCTGTCGTTGGTTAGTGGCGGTAGTAAGCTTGTAAATTCATTTTATTGATTGCTTGAAAAGAGTTCCATATAGGCCTACGGACGTCACTTGATACCCTGTGCACAAACCCTGTGGGACTGGTCTGAAAAATTCTAGTGTTTTCTAACTAAAAACGACGTGCATGACGTGGTTTTTACCCTTCTACATGTAAATTGAACCAACTTGGACACGTTTTTGCTGTTTTATGGCTAGTGTAGGTTTGTATTAAATCATTGTAGGGAACAATTACTGGCGTCCGTATATATGGAACTCTTCCCTATTGCTACACATTAGGAAAGAGTTCCATATAGCCTAGGGCCCCACTTGACACACTGCACAAACCGTAGGCTAAGACTATCACCATCAGGCTGAAAAATTCTGAGTTAGGCCCTAACTTTAAGTCTTTCCTTAGTAAACAACTTGATTTTTCCCTCCTAAATTCATCCTGGAAAGAGTTCCATATATGGTCAACACTTGAGGCCCTGGGCACAAATCTATACTGAATTGTCTGAAAAAAATCTAGGCCTAAGTCATGTAAGTGTTGTCTAAGTAAATGCTTCAGAATGTTCTTTGCTAAATTTCACTTTTTAGGACATGTCACACATGTTATCACTTTCTGATGGCTGTTATAACATTTTAAGGGAAAATTAGTGTTGTACATATACGTATATTGAAAGTTTTTTCCTAACTTTTCTGGACATGTTTTTGCTTTCTGACGGCTACTACACATAGGTCACTGTAGGGAATAATTACTGGCGTCTGTTTATGAAACTCTTTCCACACGTTACATCATGGTTATATTTAATGTCTTGGTCACTTTGTATTAGATTTAAGACGATTTATTCAGATTTGGATATATTGGATAGGAAAACTGAAATTGACCAACGTGCCCGAGGAAGGTCAAACCATGGTCAAACGGTCAAAGGCAGAATATCCTGCTTTGTATAAATTCTAGCGATCATAATAGCTGAAACTTGGGACTTGCATAGAGTAACTAGAACCCTAAAAAGGACCTTAACCCTAACACTCCTCAGTCCCCCAACAGGTGAAGGATTGAGGAGGGTTAGGGTTAATGGACATTGTGTGACGTCAGAATGTTGAGAAGGGATTTATAGTGTCCTTGTTACTCAAACTAGGACTATCGATTGCTAACGGGATGGAGCAAAATGGACATGGAGCTGTTTTCTTCATGATGTTTGAAAGGATGCAGATATATCTGAACTGATTGACAGAGTACAGTCATGCACACATTTTCTGGATATCCATGCCTCACATGGGTGAATCCTGTCAACTTGGCACTGTGGGCATCGAGGACCGTATGCATGTGTTTGGTACGATTGGTGCCCGGTCGGGGCAATCACTCGCAATTAGTCCATCTGAATGCATGATTTACCCTAGATCCAATTGGGTTTTGTTTCTAATTCATAATTGTGAAGATTCTTTCAAAAAAGGATAGCTGTAGTAAAGTCTGAGATTGTGTGAAAATCAGCTGATAGCCCAACGCGATTGTGCAATCATGCTGATTGTGCCGAACACATGTACAGTGAAAAGGGCATCCTTACAATCCATCCACTTTTAGATGCTTGTCCAAGCATCCACACTACTTTATGTACATGTAGTTGCCATCAGTGACAGGGACTTTGGTCCTGAATTTGGATATCTGTCTTTGTCAGAATTTAGTCTGTAGACACAGGCCAAACTGAAATGAATAACAATGTGCTAAATGTGGCTAAACTAATTGAGTGAGGGCGGTTGTTTTCTAAGGCAAGCTAGAAATCATTTTATTACTCCGCCAAAAGACACTGATAGCTCCAGGAGCAGTTGTTGTTCCCTCAGTTACAGAATGTTTTTCTTTTAACAGCATGGAGTGAAGGGCAGTGCCAGAGTAGGAATGGAATCCCAGCTGAGGGAGTACCGAGCTCGCAAGGCACGGGAGAAGATGGAAGAGGAACGCAGTAAGCAAATGGGAACATGGACACACATTTGGGGAACAAGGGCCACAGCTGAGAGTCAGGATACCAGAGACATGCCATTGGAAGCTACTGCACAGGTATGTGCCGGTAGGGCCCGTCCTACTGGAGCAAGGGGTCATGCTTAACCACTTCCTGCCAGGGACTCCGGATCCAGACAGTATGTTTTATATGAGTGGCCGGGGTCTCCGAATTCGGACAAAGGGCACAGGGCCTTGTAGCAAAAGACTGTACTCAGAACAAAAGAACAGGCTGCTGGGCATTACCGACATTTTTTCACTCTCAAAAGGGGAGATAATCCTGCCATGTTTTGAAACAGTATACCAGGGTTTGGGGCATTTAGAGCGAGCAGATTACCACCGGGGACAAAAGCGCTCCACCACCGCAGCGATGAGCCACACAGCACTGCTTCATGCTAATCTGGCTCCTGTTGAAAAGAGGTCAGCAGCGCAGTGGGCCAGGTTCGTGAGCAAAAAAATATTACGTAACACCACAAAATCTGGGCTCTTTTTACAAGGCTGCAGGCCTAGCTGAAATACTCAGGCATCAATAGATTTCATCTGTCTGGCTAGAGTGGACACCAGACATGCCTTCATGTGTTTGTGTCCAGTAAATGAAGATAGGAATTTTTAAAGAATATTGAAAACAGAAAAAAAATGATAAGTATCCCGCCCCAGCATCATCAACATTGATAAATGCCCCGGCAGGAAGTGGTTAAGAGTGTAGACCCATCAACTAGTATACTTTATTAGACACTAAAAGTAGAGAATCCACATCTGGCATGATTAATGACACGCATACATGTACACCAGTTATTGAGTGTTGGTTCTCAAACTTCACTTGAAATACAGCCAAAAAAATCAAATTGCATTGCCGCGGGAAGAAGGACGTGACGTTTTGAGAAAAAAATGAAAACAGAATCAAACCAACAATCTCATGATGTAAAAACAGCATTGCTATTTACTGCACCTCAAAAGTGCTTCTTCAAGTGAAGCAGGTCATTTAAGCACCTCAAAATGTTTCTCCAAAGGATATTACTGCCACTGGTTCCCCAGTGGTTACAGATGTATGACCCCGTAAGATTGAGGACTGGCACTTGATATACAGCCACAGCATATAAAATGTGCACTCCCCCCAAAAAAAACATTGCATTGTTTCCTATTCATTAGGTTTTTACACATTTGAAGCAGAGCCTTGACAGAAAGATCCATTCATACTCATGTCGGGGAAAAAAATTTTTATTCCCTTGAATTGTACTTGTTCCTCTTGTTATAGTCCTATGAACTTCTTGGAATCTTTGCTTGGAAACCTCCAGGACCAATCATAACCTAAATTTTCTACAGAGTCATCCAATGCCTTAATAGCCCAATGCATCAAGAACACCTGAAGGATTTGGTTTCAGATCAGGTATTTTAAGTATCGAGTTCAATTCCTGCCGCACCAAAAAGTCTGGGTAGTTAAGCATCAATGTCAAGTCTTCATTAAACATTCTTGAACTTTATTCTATTTCTGTTGATAGAAGCTGACGACCCCCACTCTCAACAGCCCTCAAGAGTACGTTCCCAGGAATTACTTTCTACGGTTTCTTGCCCAGGATGACTCTATTCTCACCAATTTGACCTTCTTGAAAGTCCTACTATGGATTGTCCTCTTCGTTCTCTTCCTTCACCTCGAGTTTGCGGCTGTGTTTGTGGTTGCCTCATTCTTGTACATTATTTACTCAACCTTGGGAACCAGTCGGAGAAGGGCACCGGGGGAACTCAGTGCGTACTCGGTGTTCAACCCAAATTTTGAACAGATTGAAGGAACTCTGACCGCTGCGCAGTTTGAGCGGGAACTGAAATATGGCATAGGGTCAACAAACAAATGATAATAGAAGTTGGATACATGTGAAAGATTTCTAGCTCCAGATGGGCTTCCATTTCATGCCCATGAGACATCATGGTTGTCTGTTTGGATGATGGTTTGAGTGTTGTCTTTTTAACTTGTGAACAACTCTTATGCTGAAATGCCCACAAATAAGAAACAAACCTGTACATTTACTGTTGGTCTCATGGATATATTTTAGTCAAAACCTGGGAGTATTCTTACACATTTCTGCATACATGTACATGTCTCATTGTTTCTGCAAAGAAAAGGTCTGAAGTCGGAAATAACCATTATTATACCCAGTTACATCTTAACAAAGTGTTGCGATGTTGATAAATGCATTAGAAAAAATCAGTAAAATAACATGTACATGTACATGATGCCTGTTCCAGACATTTCTATTTTTGTTTTTCATGGGATATTATCATTCCACGTCACGTCGCCTTTAGTTGAGATAGATTCTGCTAGGATCAGACCTCTGAATGTCCAGCTTTGCCGGATGAGTTTGAAGTACAGAAGCATTCTTCAACTGTGCAGTGGCTAATATTGCATATACAGCTGAAGTACCTGAAGCATGCGCAGCATTCAAAGTGGCAGTAATGCATCAAGGGAGGGGAGTTGTCAAAGTGATAACCATAGCTCTGTAATTACCCCTTCCACTGGTGGCCCCTGGACTGGGTTCTTTGTCTGCTAAATGTACCCCTACGAGTTTTCCTTGTACTATTTTGTGTGCCTTCCTTAAACCTGAAATGAAAATATCTCTGTCTTCTATCAGTGTTTTTCATGTGGCTGACTCTGCCATGTCAGAGTTGAGATACATTATCCAATCAGGTTTGAACAAAGAAATACGAAAATATTCATTCCTTGAGAATAGAGGAAAAGGCATGTGAAAACAAGATTGTGTCTCACCTGCTTGGTTTCTTGAAGGAAATGTATTTTTAAATATGTGTATAAATTTTGTAAAGAAATAAAGACTAGTTTTTTTTAATATATTCTGTCCATTCTCTGTCTACCTGCAGAAAGTATGTTTTATTTCTTGTAAACTTCTGTCCAGTAGGTTTTACATGTAGAAATATAAACTTGCAGTCAATAGACACTTTAATCCACAACAGATCCATGTACATGTACAAGGGAAAACTAAATTTTGCAGTGCTAAGCTATGAAATATAAAAATAGGCAGGTGTTTCAATGTTTAAAAGAACATTCACTGGAAATTCTCATCATTTTGAGAAGACATTCATTGATAAAATGCAGGAGTACTTAAGAGAAATTGTAATAGCTGCATAATTCTTTTCTTCAATTTCAGTGGTGATGGATTGGGGGGGGGAGAACGCAAGCTTTTATGTTAAGTGTTGAAGAAAAGTTGAAGTTTCCAGTATTTTATTTTGGATTGCAATAAAAAAGAAAATTATCAGTTTCAATCTCAAATTTTTCATGAGTGTTTTTACTTACTATGTTTTCTATTCCTTAGGGTATTCATGCACATGCAGTATCATTTTGACACTTAACTGTATGCCAGCTAGCCTGGACAGTATCCTCTCCTTGAGAAATAGTGGCTGGCCTCTACCTCCTTCAAAATTCTCCCAAACTTTCTGATGGATCACATCAGATCAGGCAGGGTTTGGGTTATGTACACCCTCCTCTTTCCCAGTTAAAGGGGCAAAGATATTTAGCAGAACACACTTCTGATCAATTCATTCTCCTTCAAAACAAACCCACCACAGGCCTGAAGTCACAATTTGCCCCAATGGACTATTTCTTCTTCTGATTCGGTTTCAGGTCCCCTAAATTAAAAAAGTGGTTCGGAAATTCCCTTCACAATGGTTATAAGACAAATGGGAAGACTTCTGAGTCCTTGAAGAAACCATTGACTACAAATAACAATTTCAGTTCATCTAGAGTTCTGTGCGGTCCAAGACCGTACTGAGAGGGGCACGGAGTTCGATGATGTCAGTTCATCTGGAGGATACTGATGATGTCACAAGTTCCAGTATTTCCTGGTATGGCTGGATGTCAGCACTTGATACTCCTATCGATTGTATCTGGAAGAAAGAAGTGTTATTACGAGCATTTAATTAAACTACTTTTAAGTAATTTTTTTTGTTCAGGGTATTCATTCAATACGTATGCCAAGCACCAAAAGTAAAGATAAAACCCTGACTTGAAAGAGAAGCATTTTTATCCTTTATGATTTCAATTAAAAAAAATTCAATCTGCAAAAAAATTGGGGGCAATAATGTGGACTTTTTTGTTTGCCAAAGAGTATTTTAATACTTATTATCATAGCATGAGCAAAGACACCATTCACATACTTTATTGACAAAATTGAACACAAAAATTTTATTTAAATCTCACTTTCCTATATTCTATGAAAGGAAAGGCAACGCAGTATTTGACAACCTCTTGCAATTCCTGAAATACAAAGTACCAACAGCTGACAAGGATAATGCTAAATGTCCAAATACATCTGACAAATCTGCAATTACAAGGAGACAAACTCTAACCTGATCACCAAAGTAGCGTACGTCTAGAGCCAGTTGCAGGCGGATCTTATCATCATCACTGGTACCCTGCTGAGTGGGAGCAGCTGCAGCGTCCGTCTTACGCAGTGCCTTGAGTCGCTTCAGGCTGTCCTCCATCTTTTTGACCGAGGACAGGAGCTCTGAACTGATGGTCAGGTAGCTGAGGAGTCAAGCATCAAGGTTAACCAATTAGGAGTATTTTAGACTACACACCCATTATTTGATGAGATGTCATTTCTACAATAGCACTACACTCAGGTGTGCATTTTAAAACTTCAGCACGCATACCCTTCACAAGTTACAACAGCCTAGTGGTTAAAGAGGCATATGGTGCGTGTACAACCTGCATGTGAGCACTGTGTTATCACAGGAATGGTTTTATAAGTCCAGTCATCACATCAGTCTACAGCCCTTCAAGATGTCCACAGTGGCAAGGGTTCCGGGTTCTGCACATTATTCTCACTGAAAGCATGCTGAATATTCAACATAAACTACACCCATTCTCGGGTAATGCTTGAAGGTTTGCATGGTGGATATGCAGTAAGGCAAAAGGATTGAGGAGACACCATGTGAATTATTTCTTTTGTGAGTATGTGTAGTTTTGAAAAAGAACCGGTACTCTACATTTCAGACAGTGAGTGCCCTGTCCATCGTCAGGAGACTGTTGGATTCCAACTTGAGTGCTGCTTAAGTATCGGCATCAGCTACATCTGATGTCCCGTCGTGTCCAATGGTTCTCCTATACCCACGGACACTTCCCCCAATCCCAACCTGCTGCACGGGTCTCATACCCCAAGCAGCCTCTACTCCCTAAGGTCCCGCTCAAACGGACACACCTGGCTGAGAAGCCTCAGGTCAACACACACAGAATCCAGACACAGCTCCTGCCTAAACAACTCACATACAGCCAGAATCCCACTCCACCACGCCTCATCCAACACGTATAGTACTTACACAGCATTCAAACTGGAATCCAGCAGTCTTCTGACGACAGACAGAGCATTCACTGTCCAAATCGTTGAATGCCAGCTCTTTTCCAGAACCACACACACTCACAAAAGAGATAATTCACATGGTACACCCATTCTGTTGGAGACTGGTTCAAATCGTAATTTGATGTTGCATAAGATCCCGTTGCTGATAATTTATATGCAAACGCTATGCAGAAAGTCTGATTAAAGATGTTTTTTCAACAATGAATGCAGAAAATACTCTGGTTAATCAAAAAAGTCCCATTTTTGTAAGAAAACACAGCCTTTAATGAGTAAAAGCAAATAAGAGTCTACATCAAGTAGAAAAGCATACACAGCATTTAATCCAGCCTTGGAGCTATAAGGGACCAAACCACAAAGCTCTGTGATGTTTTGGTTAATCACAGCCAAGACAGCCCAAGCAAATGTCCACAAGTTTAACATACATTTTTGGAGCATGCAGAGTGGTTCTGGAGAGGCAAGTGTTTGGTTGCAGGTCTGGAAGGGCTCTAACTACTGGCAAACAAAATGTGCCCTGGGCATGCATTTTGACCTCTATCCATCTTGAGAATCTGACGGCTCACCTTTGACAGATGCTGGTCAGGATGCCTATCAACCACTGGTTTCTCCTCTCTTCCTTCAGCTTGACACCGTGTTCGTCCACAAACAGCTGCAAGGGTTTCAGCGTGTTGCTGACATAAGCTGACGGTTTGTTGGGGAGCTGAGAGAATAGAGATTGTTAGGAGTAAACAAATTTTCCATTACAATACCTCACATATTTACCGTCAAGAGCTTAACCCTCACTGATTCCTTCCCCACTACACGACTGTCACTTATTTTGCTGTTTACCAGGCAAACCTAAGAGTCAGCTACACAGGCATATTGAACGGTCTCCCAGCTAACCTGGGGTTGGCATGCAATTCACGAAATAACTGTGGAATTGTTGCATTGGGTCGAAAAAACTGTGCAAACACCACACCTGCACATGAAAAAATGTGTAAATATGTTTTCCTCCATTCAATGATTTCATATATTAGAGGTTTGGTAAAACAAACCTAGCATGGTTTAGTTTGAGTAGCTGGTGGTGCACCCCTGCATTGTGAGTTGACAAACTTGTTTTCCACTGTGTCATATTCGTGCGTACACCATTCAATATGATCAGCTCAACCACAATTCTGTCTCTCAACAAATTTTGGTCTTTGAGGGTACAAACCTCTCTATTGGTTCTCCGGTAAAGACGAGGAATGTCATTGGCTGATTTCAGATGTACAGCACACTGGCTGCAGACGTCCTGGGCAATATGCTCACCGAATGCCTCCTGTCGCCTCGACAGGCTCTGCTGAGACTCCTTAAAGGCATCTGGGTCAGAGGTCACAGAGGATGAATTTTGATTGCACAATGTGAAATGATTCTAAATTTAAGATGACAAATTAAGCTACTGCAACTTTTCCAAATCAAGAAAAAGACTACAGAAAGGCTCAACTTTAATTTGACATCCACATTCATTAAAGAACTGGCTGGGTACAACATAATTTCTATGGAGAGAAAAGGTAACGATCCAACCTCTCCTGTAGAAATATAAATGCACCTTCTAAGATAACTACGGAGGATGAACATGACACCAAAGGATAAATGAGTTACTGGAAACACCTACCTGAGAGAATGTCAACAGACTTGCAATTGGCAGCAACTACTCTAGGTAGAATGATGCGGTCAAATAGAGTGGGTAACTGAAGGAGAAAAAAAGAAGCAAAAAGAAACTCAAAACCAGTCTCTGGCAGTATGCACAGTAGGGAGACAGCGTACTGGCTGAGCCAATGGTGCATTAGTGGCAAATAAATACTGTGTCAAAAATACAGAGAGTGGCCAAATTGGAAGAACATGAGAAGGCGTGTTGTAAGGGTTGGTTGAAACTTGGAGTGGATTTCAGAATGACGTGAATCTGTTAGGGTACGGAAATCATCACACTTCTTGAAATCACGTCACAGAATCTACATTGCTTCCCTCCATCTGAAATATGAACCAGTCCCACCAAAGAACTTGCTCACAAATTCATTTGTTTGTGAACAAAAAGTTCAAAAAGCTGCATCTCCTCAAAACTAGTCCTTGGTAGTTCACTTAAGCAACCTCCTTTCCAACATTACTTTGCAGCCACATAACTACAAGACCAACCTGAAGGAATAAATTTGACAAGCACTCTGTCAAGTGATGATTTTTTTCTCTACATTTGTGTCAAGGAAGATCATAGGGCCAATATAGCCAATAAAAAGTCTATTGGAGTCAGGTCAGGATGATGCAGTGGGACTTTCCTCACTTTCCACCTCCGTGACCCGGGTTCAAATCCTGCCCAGGTCAACATGTGGCTTGAGTTCTCAGTACATGCCTTTCATGGGCTTTCCCGGGAATGTTTGTCTAGGGCTTTCCTCCAACTGTAAAACTGGCCCCTAGGAAGAACAGCTCATGACCAACAGGTCAATTAAGAATATATAAAAACCTTGCTGCATATGTGGTCCACGTCAACGACCAGGCTGACAATCTGGGCGATGGTAACCAATGGACTAGCAGCAGAGCCTCCAGCTGCAGCTACAGTGGTAATTGTGGCAGCACCAGCAACTGTCACCGTCAGGGCCTTGCCGCTGTCACTCTGGGAGCTAGAGTCACTCGATAAGGCCGATGATGCCCCTGGCTTTGGTGTTTCTGTCTTGGATAAGGGTTCAGACTCCTGCGTGTCTGACGCAACCTGTGGATGAAACATACTTTTGGGAATTTTTCTTTGTTTCGGTCTGTGTAACATCACGTGGGCACTTGTCAGAAACCAAGCACTGGAAAGCAAAAAGGGGCACTGAAACATTCCACAGAAAATTGATGATAATGATCATTTTGAAATCTTACTCCGACTGTTGCTCGATTACGATGGGGTCAATCCTAAAGCAAACAAGATGTGCCACCTTGGTCTTAAAACTGACCCCAGCCAGGGTAAGCCAAGAGAAAAGAATCTGACTAAATCCAAACCATGCTATAGCTTGTACTAAAACAAAGCTGTACAACAAGCAAAGTTGGGCAAGTTAATGTCTGTAGTGTATTGCTACAAGCACTGCACTGTTATTATAATTATTACACCTCAATGCATGGCAATCACTTCAAACCATTTACACCATACCTGAAGCAACAACCAGATTGGACAGGGTACTCCATTACACAAAGTCAACTTTTCCTGTAAAAAACCTTCACAAAGATTTCAATCGTATTGCTAATCCCTAATAATTGTAATTATCGGAGAGTAGTTAAATTTTGGGTTAAAAGTGACAAAATAGGAGTTTAGACAGGTGGAAAACACCTGTGGTCTGGAACCCTTGACTCAAAGGGCTAACCTGGGAAGTGTAGACATCTTCTATCCACACAGCACAGCGGGACAGCAACTGCAGCGTCAGCTTCCAGAATCGATGGCAGAGTGGCGACAGGTAGACGTCCTGCTGCCAGCAGCGATGGAGACACTGCCACAGAGTCTGGAAGGCATTCAGCTCCAAGTCTGATGTAGCTTCATATAGAAAAAGGGAAAAGGGGGGTCATAATTCAGATATTTAATTATCAAATATTCAAAAAATCAATTTTGAAATTGAATATTCAGAGGTGAAAATCCATAAACCACAAAAAGGGAAAAATTTCATTACTATGTTTTTGAAACTGCACTCTAAAAGCATATTCTCAAGGTGTGTTGAGTTAACTTAAAGGAGGCATGCCTAACAGTAAGGCCAAAAAATTCCTTTTCATTCATGTTTTTTCTTTTCCACTTAAGAGAAAAAGAACTGCAAGTTAAATACCAAGGTCTACAATCAACTCGAAATTGACTTCTTACCCAAATGTGCCTGATTTGGTTATTCCAAGTCACATTCACACAAAGGGTCTACAATTTTGTGCTGAAAGCAAAGATTTCATTTTTGGGAGGCAGGGGAGTGAGGAAATTTGTTATTGCCACACCTTCATGAGCTTGTGTGTCGAAAGGAGTGATGAGGGCTGTCTCCAAAGAACCAGCGATCTCCTGGAATCTGTGATGAGATTATACGAAAGCAGGAATGAAATATTTTGGTCTCTTGGAACAATTCTTAACTATTGGGGATGAGCAAATAACTGTGTACTTTTTAGTTGTATGTACTTCAGTAATGAATCTTAAATAATTATATCTTCATGTTTCAATCTAGTCACTAACAGCGCGTTCCCACTTGAATTGGGAAAAGGTGGATCTTGATCCAGCATTTTGGTGTGATTGTTATCTTACCGCAACGAAACCACAAGTCGCCTTTCCACTTACGCTTGATCCACCTTTTCGCACGAACATGTCAAGCCCGAAAGGTCATTGAGTTCGGTATTGCGCATGTGCTAGCTAGCTGAGCGCACGCTGTGTGGCAGTGTTGCATGCTGGGACAAGTCACATTGCATGCGTGTGACCCTTGCGGTGTTTTGGGTGCGGAGTTCTACTAACATAACGACCTAGAATCGGACCGAATGTTCAGCCTAGTACGTTGCCTCTTCAAACTTTGCTTCCGTTTTCGATACTCTGTTATACACTGCAGGCTATACAGTGGAACGCCGCTATACCGACCGCCGCTATACCGAACGCCACTATACCAACCGCCGCTATACCAAACGCTGCTATACCAAACGCTGCTATACCGAACGCCGCTATACCGAATGCCACTATACCGAACGCCGCTATACCGAACATTCTGCTGTACCCAACATCGTCCTTTGTTCCCAATGATTTGTGCACAGAACCGCCTACCGAACACTATTCAGTTCCCGAACATCAACATGATAAAAACAGTTGGTGTGTTTTTCTGTTGGAAAGTGACAAGTGGCCATTATTTCCCCAAGGATTAGAAGGGAAAGCCACTAGTTGTCAATGGTATTGAATAGGCACTGGTTTTGCGACTCCACATGATCGGGTGCAAAACTGCACGTACGCACACCGTGGCATTGCACTAACAATAGTCTAAAGAGGGCGCTGCTGATACACAAATCAACCGAGATTAACCACGGCATACATACATCAGAGATCGATCCTGAGCAGTAGCTTCGTGACTTTTAGGATAAACTTGATATCAATTTTGTGACTCAAGATTAAATAAAAAACAAAAATAATTAACAGATACATTTCTAGAAACCTTAAACTTGAATGTAATGGCAGAACTTCACAAAACCAGCAAACTATAGTATCACAAGAGAGTGCACTTCAGTTAGACAAGAGAGGGCGCTATTCAACATGGCATTGAAACGTTCGCTATACCGAAAGACCGCTGTCCCGAACATTCTGTGTGGACCCCGTCGTGCTCGTTATAGCAGCATTCCACTGCACTCTAATACGGAATTAGTTTTTGATGGAGAGCAAGTGAAATCAAACAAATGAAAAAGGTTAAGAAACGGACGAATGCACAACGAAAATTATGAAAGGGCAAGGCACACATCGCAGCATGCATGCATGGTGAAACATTTTGCTAGCCTGCAGTTCAGCAGTTGTTTATTGTGCATGCTGTGCACGTTAAAAATTTTCACATGAGCTACACACCAAAAAACATATTTCTTTGTTCATCAGACTGCAAAAGTTTCGCGCCACTCGTGCACGGACAGATGTTGATAGGTCAAATTCTGGATTAGATCCACCTTTTGCGTTCCAATCTGATCGTCATCCGACATTTGCAGCATCTGATCCACCAATTAGGGCATCTGGTCCCATAATTTGGCAAAAGGTAGATGAGATCCGCCAATTGGTGGATCAAGTGGGAACGCAATGTAAAGTGCAAGGAATGAGGAAGCAACCTAGTGGCATGACAAAGAACACAGGCTTCTGAGAAAATGGGTAGAAGCACATGAGAATGTCACAGGCCACGTGTGTCGTAAGCAATGTGTGTCATAGGCCATGTGTGTCATAGGTCATGTGTGTCATAGGCCATGTATGTAGTTGGCCACTGGCTATGTGAATCCTATAGACCATGCGTGACACAGGCAGTGTGTCACAGGCCTCATGTGTCACTGGCCATGTCAAAGGACTTGGCTATGACCAATAATAACGAATCAGCCTCATGAAGCCACCAACTTGCGGCTAATTCCATTTCTGACAGAAACGTGAGTCATTGTCAGCTGTAGCCAAGTGATCTGCAGCCAATGTCAGATACTGCAAGAACCATGGCATCTCTCACCTGAGCTGGAAGTAGACAGGCAGGCTCCACTTGGTCATGAAGGAGTGAAAGCTGGGATGGGCCCGCAGTCTCTTCACACTGGCCTGGGAACCACACTGAAGCTCAAAGCGTTCCACAAAATCCATGGTGGCCAGGTATTTCTGCAGGAGAGGGAACGGGAGTAATAAGGAACATTACTCACAGACAGTGGACCATAGGCTGTGCGTGGAATAGAAATTCTGGAAATGATGAAAAGCAAATGTTGACAACAACCACCTAAAATACCACAAACTTGAAACTGGTGCCCATGAGTCATAGCAAGAGTAGAATATACATCAATTATTTAAATATTGATAAGAATAAGACTCCAAGAATGTTAGCTTGAGCTAAGCTCATGGGTGTGGTGTCGGCTCTGTGCAAAGGATCTTATTGACGTCATACTAACCTCATGAAAGGTCGATGGGTTCCCTGCTGCAAATATGGACGTTGTTCGCGTTTCCAGACTGCTGGCTATCTCGGGCCAGACCGCGTTGACCAGAAAGTCGTACCCTCTAACAACATCCTGGCCACTGGAACTAGAAAGGTTAGAAGCATAAGAGGTTAAAAGTTTGAAGGAAAGCCTTGAGATTACTATGGAAAACAAGGATCTATGTTTAAGTCTAAGATGTCCCACTCGACCTTCAATAATTCACCATCTGATATTCAGTAACGTATTCCATATACAGATGTAACATATACATGTAAAACCAAGGCCATTTCAGTAAGAACTTCAATTTGTATTACACAGACCTTTTTCAAATACATTCTGGTCACAATTAACAACTTTCTTAAATCCTCCAGGTTAGTGGCCATTGTTGCAAGCTAGGAACTGTTGCCAAAGTTCACATTCTTTTTTTCAGTATTTTCTACTGAAAATATCTGTGTTTTGTGTGATTCATGTGATAAGAAAATTTACCCCCCGGGTTTTGCTGGCAAAAAAATTCAGTGCATGTTTGTGGCCATCTGACCTGCATTCATTTATCTCACTGTAATCTTTAAAGAATTGTATGCACACACAAAACAGAAAAATGATAGACCTACGTAAGTACTGTACCGTGTGCATAGTTTTGAACGAGGATTTAGCATAAAACAAGTGGATATGAAATATTAGACGACCATGTCTTCTACTGAACACCCACCTGGTCATTGGTGAAGTGACCTGTCTGATTAATCTACAGTGCTTTGGAATGAAGTCTAAGACACGAACATAGAGACCTTTTAAACCCTGGGGCTGGTTCTGAAGGGACCTCGCGTGAATCACCTACAGGGAGAAATCAGCCATTATCATTGGTGAAATGAAAGGTTAGCCACTCTGGCCCAGCAAGTATATGGAGTTGATATTTGAGCATACATTCAGCTTGAAAACTGCTCAGGATGACTCAGACTAAGGTCAAATGTTATGGCTGCCGCTGCAAGTTTTGCATATTCCTAAGAAAGTTACTGGTTAGTAACTGCAGCCACTTCCCATGATGCAGGCTGAGGTCACATGTTATGGCTGCGGCTGCAAGTTGTGCATGTTCCTAAGAAAGTTACAGGTTGGTGACTGCAGCCACTTCCCATGGTGCAGGCTGAGGTCAAATGTTATGGCTGCGGCTGCAAGTTGTACATGTTCCTAAGAAAGTTACTGGTTAGTAACTGCAGCCACCATCCATGATTCAGGCTGAGGTCAAATGTTATGGCTGTGGCTACTGAACATCGCTCATCTTGAAGAAAGTTACACATGGTCTTCATACAATCTTAGGGCATGCTTTGTGACATTCATCTACTCTGTGCATAAACACTGGTGACAAATAAAGAGGCTAATAGTGACAACTGATTGCCACTGGTGCCCTGCACCCAACCTCCATGCAAACAGAGTACATATTTGCAAAATTACTAAAGCCAGATCAAGGTGAACAAGCATGTGCACACCATACGCAGCCCCAACAGAAGTTGCCGCTTGTTGATGATGTTCCTTCTCTTGCTCAAATACGTAGTTCATATCTTTGATGAACTACTCGTATTGAGTACATGGAAAACATAGGCTGTAAACATAAGAGAGAGGAAATAGTGCTTCTGCTATCCCTACCCACCTCATCA